CAATCCACCTTCCCACCGTCTGACTGATAACTCGACATTAGACAATGTCACCAAGACGATCATTGATATTGAGGCTCACCTCAAAGACCGATCACCCTGCCTGACACCTAAGACGCCCTGTTCCAATGGAGAGATCAAACGTCTAAACTCAGAGCTTTCCGTCATGGTGACGGAAGGTACCAACATGGCCGAAGACCAGCTGGCTGACTGCAAAGACCAGCCAGAAAATGTATGCAGTACCACCACTGTGCGCTGCGGAGAGGAGTCCGTTTTAGCAGATGTTACCATTAATAGTAGCTGCACTAAAGATTCTAATGTGAGCATATGCTCATCTCCTTGCAATAGCCCTACAAGTATGTCTCTTGATAACTCTAGAAGCACGCAAAGCCAGATTCATGTTATAGACTCAAAGCAGCAACCACAAAACAGTACTGACTGTAAAACAGGACTTGATGTCTCTGTTGATAATGAAATTAGTGTTAGTGCTACCATGAAGGGACAAGACACCATAAATGTTGGTGCATTCACCGATGATGGTACTGAACACTATAATAGTCCATCCATTGAGTTTTCTACAGATTCTGATGGTCTCCAGCTTTCTGCTAGTACACTTTCTGTCCCCAACTTACAGACTGACAATAAAGATCTCCATCCACCAAATGGTCTAGGTATGTTTAGTGCTGCAACTGTAGATACCATTTGCAATGAAAAGCAGCAGAAAACTGCCTTATTTTTGTCTTTAGATAAGCAGTTTGCTAATGAGTTGGCATACGAAGTCAGTCCAGCTGCCCTTGATCACCTCCTAAGTGATGACCTCCAAAAGGACAGATCTCACAAATTTGTGGTGGAGCATTTTTCAGAGTCTGTGGTAACCAATGGGGACTTGAATGTGACAAAAGTAAAAGAGAATCAAGAAAAGGATGAACTTTGTCTTGAATCCAGTCGAAACAAAGAAATGAGTAACGATATCTTCTTGGACAGCTCTGTTAGTGTTGGTGGTGAGGACAGGTGCCTGCCTAATGTTGATGCAGACATGTCATTGTACAATGGGTGTGATTCCTATGGAATGCAGAACCCAAATGTAGCTCATAACCCAAAGAGTTTGCCGTCAAAAGAAGATTCTGTGACAGAGGAGAAGGAAATTGAAGAGTGCAAGTCTGAATATTACGCCAGTGTGTACGATCAGCAGAGGGAGGACGATGCTGCTGAAGCAAGTGGACTTGTGCTGAACATCACTGGAGACCAAATGAAGAATCACCTGCATGGCCTGTGTGGCCAGGTGACACCAGGGCATGGGCAGACCTCATCAAAACTGGCTGGCAATATGCAACCTCTAAGCGTCCCCTATGGTGGAGCGCGTCCAAAGCAGCCAACTCATCTGAAGCTGCAAATTCCAAAGCCATTATCTGACATATTACATAGTGACTTGGTTCCCCCCAATGCAGGCTGTGGCTCCAAAAACAAAAATGACCTGTTAAACAAATCAAATCAGAGTGATAATATGGTCTCAGAAGCTCTCCATGAAGAAGCTGGTCTGCGTAGCCCAGTTACTGATGCAAATGGTGACCTCCTAGGAGATTATAGGGGCCCCCACAGCCCGTGCCTTGCAGTGTCCCCAGATAGCCCTGATAATGACCTCCTAGCTAGGCAGTATAGAGTTCCTACCTCCAAGCCATTTACAACACTAGGGGAGGTGGCTCCAGTCTGGGTCCCTGACTCCCAAGCACCAAACTGCATGAAGTGCGAGGCAAGGTTTACCTTTACCAAAAGGGAGGCACCACTGCAGAGCATGTGGTAAGGTAAGTGGAACTAAAATAAGTTGTGTTTTTTTCGAAGTCTCTGAAATTCCAAAATTTACCTCAGTTTAACAGATCTGACAATATCATTGAGAACTTTTGGACCTCCTCATGATTTTTCCAGTTTTTAATCATATGAGATGCCTTTTTCTGCCTCCAATAGTGTTTGGGGAATATAGGAAGTCTGTATTACCTAGCAGTAACTGCTGGAAAACAAATATCTTATGTTAGACTTGTCTGTTGTCTTGTTATTTTGGTAGTAATATTCCACTCAACTCTAGCTTGCTCCAGTACTTTGTCTAAAATAGGCCTTTCATTTTTAATTTAAAAAGTTTGCTCATACAAACAACTGCATTGGACCATTCCTTGACCCCTAACCTAGAAATTCCACATGCAGCTGCTTACTTATCTCAGCATGAAGCCACCTCCAGGACACAATTTACTTCAGTGCTGCCTGTGCCTGCACAATGAGCCCTTCTACACTTGTATAGGACTCTTTAGTTTGTGGGGTATGGCCTTATGGGATGAACACTCCAGAAATTTCATGTCATAATCAGGACAGACTCTTGTGTTCTGCACTAACATAATTTTTTTGTACATCTGTAATAGGGATGAACAGATGTATTTAAATTCGTGTCCAACCTAGGGTCCAGCAGACATATTTTTTTATAGAGCTAGGGGAAACATGCTTTCATTGACAGCAGCAGAAAAACTCAAATAATTTAGGAGCCAGCTGGAATTTTTAGTTTCATAGTCTTGATCTTAACAATCACCTGCAGGTCTGCTAAAGATTAAAACTTGCATTGGAATTTCTGTGGAGTAATTTTGACATTCTTGTAGCTGCCTTTTTGTATATCATCCATTGGTCCTGGACCACATCTGCAGGTGCTGCTGGACACGCTTTTTTTTCTGCACCTCTCATGTAAACAAACAAAATAGTAGTCTAAGAAGTGTTTTATAGATATCGGCTACATTCAGACATTCTTTAAATGTTTGAATGTGTTAGGTGATACAGGAATCAAGCTTTGCCCAATGCAAGTTTAAAAAAATGTACTGTTGCTAATCCTCTCCTGAGTTGTGTGTGGGAGGGACTATGCAAATTAAAGTGAGCTGAGCATGCTTCTGATATTAGTATAGTTTAGTTTTTTTCCTGGATAGCACAAGTATAACTAAGGTAATCCTGCAAAGCTTTCTATAGAAAATTAAAAAAGTGAGCGCTGATCCTAGAAAGCAGCTAAGCACTTTAAGTAACCAATAGATACTTATACAGAATAATATAAATAAAAGTGCAGCGCTAAGTAATAAATCTGAAAATTGTCCACTGTAAGTCCAGTTCATATAAACGTGCCAGGTGACAAATGGAAATCCACAATGGTGATCTGTGAGGAAGTAGCAGAAATGCGCACTCACCAGAAGGTTAAAAAGGAGTACCTCTTTGCAGAGTCCTTATTAGGAATTCAAGCATCCACCTAAGAGGAGGAAGAATTTTGCTTTGCACCCTTGAGGAAAGGAAAAGCTAATCCACAGTGACCAGACCTGTTTCTTCTTGACCGAGGATCCATGAGCTTTTGATATATACTGCTTCTATATATCTGCCTTCTGGTGAGTGCGCATTTCTGCTACTTCCTCACGGATCACCATTGTGGATTTCCATTTGTCACCTGGCACGTTTATATGAACTGGACTTACAGTGGACAATTTTCAGATTTATTACTTAGCGCTGCACTTTTATTTATATAATCCTGCAAAGCTATTGTGGTCTTCTGGTGGGGGGGGGGGGGGGGGGGCAGGGAGCCGTCCCTGCCAGGAGAACACAGTGTTTACTGCTAGCGGCTAAAGCTGATGGTAATAATTGCATGCTATAAATCCTACATGCTGATTGTGCCCAAGCCGATCTGTCAGTCATCTTGGGTACAATCAGCCTGCCCATAGATGGATCGAATCCTGGCTAGTCCCTGCTAAGATTCAATCCATCTTTGGCCTGCTTAAAGGCAAAACTTTGTTTTAGATAGTGGAGAAGGATTAGAACACCTGTCAGGTTTTTGCTATTGTCTGTACTGTCATTAGGGAAATTCACCTTCTCTGTTTGTCCTGTTTACCATTATCCCCAAAAGTGAAAGTGAAAGAAAAACCACAATTTTGGGTTGTTACCAGAAAAGGAAAACAGAGGAATAATTCCAGTGGGGACACTAGTTTTGGTGATGGCCAAGGATTCCCTTTCTTTGGAGGGATTTCCTCTCTGTTTTGGCTGTGGGACAGGACGTAAAAAGAAATCTCCCCAATAGGACACAGATGGCAAAAAAAGGCCTGACAGGGAGTATACTGTCCCTTACTCTATCCAAAATGGAAAAAAAAAACATTTTGCCTTTAGTTCTACTTTTGATTTAACGCTTTCTCTCATTTGCAGGTTTTCTGTGCTGCTTGCTGCAGCCTCAAGTGCAAGCTTCTATACATGGATAAGAAGGAAGCCAGAGTGTGTGTTATCTGCCACTCTGTGCTCATCAATGGTGAGTGCAGCCTCTTCTATACTATAGCTGTTCTGAACCCCTCCATGCTGTTCAATCGCTAATTGGAAAACCATTTTATTTTAACTTTAAAACTTAATATATCCTTTAGCATCACATTAACCCTTTGAGGACCAAGGGATGTATTTGTCCCATATTTTTAATTGCCTGTAGAATCTGATTAAGAACTTAAAATACTTCTTTTTTTTTTTTTTGGTTTGAGTCAAAATATTAGTTCTCATCAACAAATGGATCTAGCTTTTTGCCAATTATTTCATGAAATGGCTTAGTTACAGCAACTGAAGTGTACGAACTGTAAAAACAAAAAATTGATTCTTTTGGCGTTCCCTAATCTTATGGCCCTCAAAGGGTTAAAGCTATCAAGAAGCCCTCACTCAGTATAACCTGGTTATACTGTTCTTTTGGGCCACAAGCCCTACTCCATGGAGCCAAGGTTTCCTTACATTGGACGGATTATGGCCTAATAGCCTGAAGTAGCTGTATGCAGTTTGGAATAAATGACTCTTTAATATTTGCACTATATACTAGATGCTCTGTATTCGCATCTGGCTGGAGGGATAAAATGAGGAATAACCCTCTTTTCTTTTGGGATATGTGATTGGATGAGATATTCCTGTTTTACGCACTAATTTTGTACACAACTTTTTTTTTTCCCTGATTGCTTTCACTGTGTGTTTCAGCTCAAGCATGGGAAAATATGCTCAGTGCATCAGTCCAGAGCCCAAACCCAAACAACCCTGCGGGAGTACTGCTCCACCATCCCCCCTATGCAGCAGGCCCAGGCATCAGGTGCCCTCAGCTCCCCGCCTCCAACAGTTATGGTGCCTGTGGGCGTCCTGAAGCATCCAGGTACTGAAGGTGAGGATCCCACATCTACAAAAGTACAAGATTTTAGCACAGTCACATTTGTAAAAATATATTTTTCTTTGTTTACAAACAATTTTTTCTTTTTCAAGAAAGTCTGTAAAATAACAGTACAGCTTCAAACAATGTGTACAGTAGTAACAAAGCACAGTTGAATTGTACATTTCAAAAAGGCACAATCCTATCGAAAAAGTAAAAATGAAAAGAAAAGATGAAAGAATAGAGTCTAAGTACATGAGAAATATAAATAAAGAGATAGGTAGAATGATATATCTGCCAACAGTACAAGTCAGGCAATCATCAAATGGAATGGCCCTAAGTATGCAGTAAATGTCTATGAACCTTCCAAGAAAAATATATTTTTCATTGTAACTAGTCATCTTAAAACTGATTCATATTGCTTTCTAACAAGCAGTAACCAAAACGTCAAGCAAAGTTAATGATCATTATGTTGTGTCTAAAGATTTTTTGTTGCTGCTTGTTGAGTGGGGAGTACATTCCTGCAGCTCTTGTAATTCCAGCCTCCCTGTAAGGTGTGTCACTTCCTTAGATTTCATTCTTTCCCCAGAGGCTTTTCACTGCTCCATATCCTTGTTTGTATTCCAGTGTCTGGAACTGCTTGCTGTATGGCCAGCCTGTATATCCTCTCCAGCACAGGTGTTTTGTAAACATCTTGGCCTAAAAAGGAGAACTCCAGGCAAAACGCACCATCCATCAGCATACAGAGTGCAAAAGCTGCAAATCTGTGTTGTATTTATTTATCTTGGTCTTGAGTTTCAAGGCCAGTTCACACCACAAAAATGCACTCCAGATGCGTTTTTGCTTACAGTTCACACCATACTTCATTCCGGTGTATTTTTGATGTGTTTTGCTGAGTTCCAGTACAGTTTTGTTTAGAAAAAAGCAGCATGTGCTGTTTTTTTTTTTCTTTTTCTTTTCTGCACAGGAACATATTGGAATTGACTGCACTGGTGTGAACTGGGGCCATTCGAATACATGGAAAACACTGTGCATGCATTTTTTAATCATGTTCTGTGCAATTTTTGGGCCTATAGTTAACAAAAAGAGTTCTATAGGGACAGCATACATGCTTATTTTATAACACCAGCATTGTATTAGCAATACAAATAGTTATATTTGACTAGCCAAAATAAGATTTCTTGAAATTCTTCTTTCATGTTGTGAATTCTGCCTGTCTGCTGACAATCTGTCAACAACTTCCTGGACTCCCTGCATGCTTTGGTCATCTGCTGTTCATTTTCCATTTCTTAGGACTACAAATCCCATGGTACCTTGCTGCCTGCAAACAGTGATTGCTGTACTGACTCCACCTGCTGAAACTCCTCCTCTCAGCACCTCTGTGTTCAGAAGGCAGGCTTTGTGAATTCCGTGACACAGCATTGCATACCCAAAGGGCATTGAGAGTACTTGTCACAGAATTCAAATAATTAAATATGTGGGGATATTCACAAAGTAATTTTAAAAACTTGAAGATCATTCGGATAAAGGAGTAGGCTAGCAATTATTGAAATATGGATTTATAGTATATGACTTTAACTGTTAACATAAATAGTCTTTAAGGCTTAGGTTTTTGTAAGGATTTTTTGGTTTATGGATATGCCTTTACATAGAGTGCATTTCTACCCAGGAGTAAATCTTTTCAAATCAGTACTTATAGATGTTAACCATAGACAGTAGATGCTTGTTTCACAGTCATTGAGAAAAGTTGGTATGATACCATTAAAACGTTTATAAGGTTGCAACCGCTGGCAAGCTAGATCTGTCCAGACAGTCCTGATACTTTTGCATCTCTATCATACAATACAGCCATCCTGAATTTTCTCTACTGCAGTTAGAGTAGTACAGCTAGATCACCTCCCTGCCCCAAGTCTGTAACAGGACAATAAAGGAGCAGCAACAGACTGATGAGCCAATTTCTCCACTGTCTCCTTCTATCAGCAGCCATTGTGAATTCAGGATACGTAGTTGGCCCCTAGTGCTTCCCCCTTTCTTATCCAGTCTGATTTCCAATGTACAAGAGAAGGAAGCTCCAATGTTACACTGGATGCATTTAAATATAATTTTTTTTTTCTTTTTTCAATGAACACATACCTGCATTGATTGATGTTACTTTATATGTGTCCAGAGTTCAGATTTAAAGTTGAACGCCAGGAATTCAACCATTTTGTAAAATTTGTTGGATTACTATAAATTAAGTCCAATGAGATGCAAGCCACTTTGTGGACTTATCACATTAATTTACAGTTTACATTTTGTACTGAGTGGCAGGAGTACAGCTATGCCTTTACTTCCGGCATCCCTACGCTGGACAATCTAGTTGCATGCAGCCGCTGTGTCCAAAAATACAAACGCTCCTGTGAATGGGCAGAGGATAGGGGCAGGCAAAGATGGTGTGTATCAGAAGACCGCATCTCTCTTCTGTTAGAGCGCTGGGAGTATAGTGATAGCTGTACTCCTGACGCTCAGTAAAACTGTCAATTGTAAATAACACCTTTAGGTCTAGGAGGTGACATGCGCCTTGTTGTACTTAAACCATATTAGGACAACAGATTTTATTGAGAACTGATGTTGTTAGTGTAATGGAATTTATCCTTGAAAGTAAAAACGTTGTCATGTTGTCTTTATAGGGTCACAGTCCAGAGAGCAAAGGCGAGTCTGGTTTGCTGATGGTATCCTACCTAATGGAGAGGCTGCAGACGGAGGGAAAGCAAATGCAGCACCTGCTGGAAACTTGTCAGTTGCAAATGATGCCAACAAATCTACCCCCAGCAACTCCCCGTCTTCAGAGGCAAGATGACGTTTTGTGGCAGCTGCAAAAATAGCGCTTTGATTCCAGCTAACATTCCAGTGGCCAGTTGAATGTTCAAAATACAAGCTATGCAGTACTTGGGTGTGCACATAGGATTTCCACTTGGCCTCCCAGAATAATTACTGAGTTTTCCAGTTTGTTGGAAATGACAGTCAATTGTATGTGTAGAGGACGCCTAAGTGAATACTTGTCTGCTCCTGCGTAACAGGATGAATAGAAGGCTTCACGCACACTGTTTTATTGTAAGGTCTCATGTATGCATGAACTCCCCTAGACGTTTAGTTTTCCTGGCAGCAGAAAAAGACAAAATGTGTGGAAACGTGGGTACCGCGTTTAGCGCTTGGACATTTATTCATTTGGTTGGCAAGTGTATTTTCCATTGACATTAAACGCACAAGCGCTAAACGTGGCTAACATTTACACGCATATTTGCTGCATTTAACGTTTTTTGGCCAAAACATTCCTCTCCTGAATGTCATTCTTCTGCATTCAGGAGAGGAACGTTTAACTTCAACTAAACTCAGCTGCAAGCCTATGTGTACATGGACACATAGGCTTTTATTGAGTTCAGGGGCTTTGGCAAAAAAAAAAAACCAAAAGCTCCTAAACCCACATTTATGAGCAGCAGTGTACATGAGGCCAAAATGCTGTTTCTCCTGACAGGAGAAAATCGGCATTAAAAAAAATCACCTAAGCTGCATTTTTTTCTACCCAGTTTAGGTGGGTTTAGCTGCATTTGGTGTTTGGGGGTTTAATTTATTTGCCAGAATTTTCATTTATTCTTGGCATTGAAATGAATAAATGCTGAAGTGCTAAACGTGCCTAGCGTTTAAGCGCATTTAGATACGTTTATGTGCCCTTAGGCACGTTTGTCAACTTAAATGCCGGTAAACTCTCTTGTACTGGATGCAGTTTTTGTGGTTTCAGAGAAATGTCAGTAAACTCAGCTGCCTGTAAACTCCTCTAAATAACTGTGTACATGGAGACATAGGACAACATAAAGGAGAGTTTAGGGGCTGCAGAAAAAAAAAAACGCCCACCTGCTCCTAAACATCAGTTTAGCAGGTGCAGTTTACATGAGGCCTAAAACTGCTTGAATGAATCATTAATCCCTGAAGGAAATATAGTTTTTAGTGTATAGAGACTATAGTTGTCAGTGAAACTCCTAGTGTGACATTAAGGCCTCATGTACTCATAAACTCACCTAGTCGTTAAACTTTCCTGTCTGCAGAAAAACGTTTACACTCGTTTTGACGTGTTTATCGCTATTCATTTGATTGGCCAGAGTCTTTTCCATTGACATGGATAAACGCTCAAGCGCTTAATGCGGCTAGTGTTTAGACTCTCACTAAAAAGTTAGTTACCAAAGAAATGTTCCAATAAATACAACACTTCTATTATACCAACATCATTGCGCCAATGTAATAAAGAGAGGAAAATACACTCACTGGATGCTGCTATTATTAAAAAACTCAAAATAAAAAAAAAATGTGAAAAATATACAAATCACAAATAATAGCGCAAACCGAATCACACAACTAAATATAACCACCACCAAATAAGTGCATATTAATAGTGCTAACAAAAAATCAATAAATAGGGAATCTCAATATAGTCCATTCAGAAAAGTCCATATAAACATGATCCTCAGTAAATGAAGTAATGAGATCCTCCTTCATAAGCAATGTGATATTCAGTGCTCAAAAAACACCCCACCAAAATGCACACTCACCATGTGCTAGTAATTAACCAGCATGTCAGTATATATCCAGCATTCACCAAACGGACTTCAAAGGACGATCCTCATGTGTTGGTAATTACTCAGCATACTACTGTGTATCCAGCATATCACCAAACAAACTCCAGAGAAGATCCTCTCATATCCAGATTAGCACATGTTGGTAAAGAAAATACTCGCCATAGTGCAATATCATCCAACAAATTTATTGCCAAACAAACCCCCCTTGAAATCACACTCACAATGAGCAAATAAAAACAAGGCGTTTGGTTATATCAGAGCTCCAGTCTCTCCATCCTGTGTCTCACCAGCCAGCTCGCATTCAAGATGGTAATAGTGCCATCACGTCATCCGGACACGTGCATCAGCATGAGTAGTGACGTCACAGGAAGGCCACACTCTGACGCGTTTCATCCAATGACTCCTTCCGAGGGAGAAGTCATTGGACGAAACGCGTCAGAGTGTGGCCTTCCTGTGACGTCACTACTCATGCTGATGCACGTGTCCGGATGACGTGATGGCACTATTACCATCTTGAATGCGAGCTGGCTGGTGAGACACAGGATGCAGAGACTGGAGCTCTGATATAACCAAACGCCTTGTTTTTATTTGCTCATTGTGAGTGTGATTTTAAGGGGGGTTTGTTTGGCAATAAATTTGTTGGATGATATTGCACTATGGCGAGTATTTTCTTTACCCACATGTGCTAATCTGGATATGAGAGGATCTTCTCTGGAGTTTGTTTGTGATATGCTGGATACACAGTAGTATGCTGAGTAATTACCAACACATGAGGATCGTCCTTTGAAGTCTGTTTGGTGAATGCTGGATATATACTGACATGCTGGTTAATTACTAGCACATGGTGAGTGTGCATTTTGGTGGGGTGTTTTTGAGCACTGAATACCACATTGTTTATGAAGGAGGATCTCATTACTTCATTTACTGAGGATCATGTTTATATGGACTTTTCTGAATGGACTATATTGAGATACCCTATTTATTGATTTTTTGTTTGCACTATTAATATGCACTTATTTGGTGGTGGTTATATTTAGTAGTGTGATTTGTTTTGCGCTATTATTTGTGATTTGTATATTTTTGAAATTTTTTTATTAGTGTTTAGACGCGTTTACGTGTGTTTGTTGCCCAAAATGTTCCTCTCCAGAATGCAATTATTCTGCGTTCAGAAGAGGAACATTTAACTGTCCCTAAACTCTGCTGCTCCTAAACTCTGGTAAAATCCTTGTGTGTACATGGACACATAGGCTTTTATGTTGTTGAGTTCAGGGGCTTTGACAAAAAAACGCCAAAAGCTCCTAAACTCACTTTGAGTCTAGGTTCACACTGATACGGTGTGGAATTCGCAGCATTTTCTGTGTGAATTCTGCACCGCATCAGAATCACACCCCGTTCATGTGAAACGCTGCGGGTGTGTATGTTAACAACACCCTGAAATCGGCCAGCAAAACGCAGTGTGATGTGCAGAATCGGATTGCATGGGTGTGAATACCCATGCGGTCCGATTCTAGTGCGGACCATAAAAAAGGTCAGTTTTATTGCGGATGCGTTGTGATTTGAGCCATACAAAATGTACGGCTCCAATCGCACCGCACACAATTCGCATGTGATTTGCACAGGAATTCGGTGTGGTTCCTGTGCGAATCACATGTGATATACCGCACCGCACATGTGAACCCGCAGCAAAGTGCATGAGGCCTAATATGGAACTCCAGCCTTTTTTGTTTTTTTTGTTTTTTTGATTAGTGTGTGGAATTTGTCTTTATTGAGGATGATTTCCCTAACCTCCTACTTGGTGAAGCAGTCACAGAAGCAGGAAATGCAGAGGGGCTTAAAGAGGGACACAGCCACTAATAAGGAAGAATTAAAACCTATGTAAGCTTTTATTGTTTGCATCCACATTGGGGAAGTTTTCCTATCTTTCTTACCCAGTCACTGTGGTAAACCGAACCGGAAGTGAAGTAGGGACCCAGACAGCAGTAAAATCTTGACAGAGGCTCTAACTCTCTCCACTCTTATTAAAATATTTTGTCTGGAGTTCTATTTTTCGGAACCCCCCCCCCCCCCTGCTCATTCGCTCTGTGGTTACAGTAAGGTGTCAGAACTGTGTTACTGCTTGGGAGATTCCTCCTCACCATTTGCCCTGGTACAGTACAGAAAATGTTGGAAAATCCAATATTTTTGAGTCGTCTCAAAAAGGAGAGGTGAGGGGAAAATATTGCAATGAGGAAATCTATTTTGTGACAACTAAGTGAAAATATTTGCTTTGAAGTGATTTCGCCTTACTTTTCTGATTTGTGTTTGGAAGAGGCAGTGAAGGGAAATTTCAATGGCTGGACAAAAAAAAGATAAAAAAAAAAGAAAACTTTGACAGGAGTTTGAGCCATTGCCTACTCTTTCCAAAACTAAAAGAAAATTAAAATGACCATACATACACTTTTAACTCTGCTTTCCTTTCATGGTTAGTTCTTTCACCAGTGATTTTTTTTTTCTACAACATTTATTGAATATGGGATAAATTAAAATTAGGAAGATTGTTTATGTATTTTTGTTTCAGTCAAAAAGAGGGCTAAATCACACGTCTTTGTGTTTCCATGCAGGCTGAGAATATATCTGGATTCTGTGGCAGCATAACACAGGTGGGCAGTGCAATGAACCTATCCCAGAGGACGGTCTTCCCCCTATTCTCATCTCCACTGGAGTCAAAGGAGGTATTGGTTTTTTTTTTTTTTTTTTTTGCAGTTTTCAGCCTTTTATACACAAACTTCTTGCCAATTAAAAACTGTTCAGCTGTCTGACTTTTGGAATTTATGCTTGTCATGGGTTCCTCCCCTTTCAAATTATAATGCCACAACGTTAACCTTTTCCCATGGCTGCTCCCTTGATGGATTCGGGCATTCTGTTTGCAAGAATGCAGCAGGAACTTTCCAGGACATTTTAGTCACCGTGCTGGGAGCGCCCAGTAAACTGTTCCCTATGGATGCCTATATGCGACCGCTCAGTGTTCAAGCCCACCTGCCCAACTGCCACATATACTGTGTGCGTAAGCTCGTCGGGTATAGATTAAAAAGTGTGCTAGATTTCTCATGAAACCCAACTCAGATTAACAGGTGTTTATCTCCTGTCTTTAAGTGCTTGTTTACACTTATGTTGTCTTCTAAAGAGCAATCTACATTGGATTGCTTTTCAGTGAGTGACAGGTGGTGAGAAGGTGTTATGTCGTCTTTTCCTGTTTTAACCCCTTAAAACCCACCGACCGTAATGATTTGCTTTGCACGGTTGCAACATGGCCCCATTCAGTTGCCAGTGGGGATGCTTTTCAATTCTGCCACTGCACATGTACACCTTGCCTTTGCAGCTAAACCCACAACAATAAACCCAGTCTGTATATGCAGTAAAGCATGCTTGTTATACTCACTGTGGAACCTAAGGGGTTAATCCTCTGCATTGTGTAAAAACGCTGTTTGATCCTGTCTTCTCTGATCCTCCCCTTCTTCCAGTGTCCCCCTCTTATCTCCTGATAAGACATATATCGTGTGGAGTCACTATGCACATGCTCAGTTTGGTGTGTATTGCAAGAGGGGTTTTTTTTTCCTCTTGGGAGGGTGCATGTGATCAGCACAGGGCCAATCTGCACTGTCCTGACAGAGGTCAGGGGACCTGCATCCTCCTAGAGCAAAATGAAAACTCTTCCTACAAGCTTTAACATGTGCTTTGCTGGACACTGATAGAAGTCACAAGATTGTTCTAACTGCTGATGAGAAAAGGTATTTAGCAGTTTGAATTTACTAAAATAATTGCATTTCCATGATTTGTGTACTGTGGGAGACCAGATATAGTGAATGCAGGGTCCTGGGTTTAGTAACACTTTAAGAGAGATTGGTTGGGGCTCCGCCATGTGTTTTTATCCCCCTCCCACCCTCAACTGCAAGTTTAAACGATGCCTAATTATGTAGAGGATGCTAACCATTTCGAGATTTTTAGGTAGGAATTTAATCTTCAGACATGAATTTTGTACCCATTCTCACAAAGGGCTTCCCCTGCTTAATTTTCTGAGTATTTGAAATTATCCACATCCAAAGAACCTGCCCTCCTCCATATGCAAAATATGTTTATCCTTCAGGGCTTCAAAACTAGTATAATAAAAAGTTACTAGGGAATTGAACATAGGCCCCCTTGATGATGAAGGGCCCACCTATCATATATACTATAGTACTTGCAAAATGTACAACTCAGTGTTCACCCTTCTACTTTACAGCAGGTTTATCTTGTTCTGGCACTTCTACAGTTTCTGTGTGACAGAATGGTCACTGCAATTCCTTCTGACCTCCAGGCTTTGCATTGCTGATAACCCCTGGATCTGTTTGCTTTTACCATGCTGAGGGAATTCTTAATATAATTCTACATAGTGTATAGCCATATTTGCGATCTTTGCTGATCTCTAAATACTTACACTTTGGAACCCAGGATACATTATTCTCTTCTGCATTAATACTTGATCTGTGAACATTGTAGCTGCTCACAACGCAGGAAGTTCGATACAAGAGGGATAGGAGGGCCCTGCTCCTTGGAGTTTACAATCTAAGACAGTGGTTCTCAACCTTCCTAATGCCGTGACCCTTTAATACAGTTCCTCATGTTGTGGTGACCCCCAACCATAAAATTATTTACCCAGTAATTATAATTCATGAGTGTCGTTTTACCTCCAATACTGCTGCTTTCAACACAGTAGCTGCTTTAACAGAGTAGCTGCTTTCAACAGAGCAGCTGCTTTCTACACAGTAGCTGCTCTTTACACATCGGAAATATGTGTTTTCTGATAGTCTTAGGGGACCCCTGTGAAAGGGTCGTTCGACCCCCAAAGGGGTCGCGACCCACAGGTTGAGAACCACTGATCTAAGAGGTAGGGGCTGGTGGTAGAAAAGGTAATAGCTGTGGGGTATGAACCTCCTATCCCTCTTGTATTGAACTGTATTGTTGCTGTATTTTCTCCCTTTACATTGTAAAGCACTGAGCAAACTGTTGGCGCTATATAAATCTTGTATAATAATAAAAAAGTGTAGCATACAAGACTTTATTCATATAATACATGTAATCACTGTCAGACCATAAATGACGGACAACTTATTATTATAATTATACAGTATTTATATAGCGCCAAAAGGTTTGCTCAGCGCTGTACATTATAGTGGGGGACAGAACATGAGACAATACAGTAACAAAACAATACACGAGGGGTTCGAGGGCCCTGCTCTTTCGAGCTTACAATCTAGGAGGGAGGAGATAGTGGTACAGGAGGAAGTGGCTGTGGGGGATGTAGTGGAGGAGATCGGCTGTTAAGTGAGGGTGGGGTAGGCTTCCCTGAAGAGATGGGTTTTCAGGGTGCACCTAAAGGTGAGGAGGGTAGGTGACAGTCTGATGGATTGGGGTAGAGAGTTCCAGAGGATGGGGGAAGTCCTGGAGAAGTCCTGCAGTCGGGCGTAGGGGGAGGAGACCAGGGAGCTAGAAAGTAGGAGGTCTTGTGAGGAGCGAAGATTACGGGTTGGGTGGTATTTGGGTATCAGGTCGGTGAGGTAGTTTGGGGCAGTGTTATGAATGGCTTTGTAGGTCAGAGTCAGTAGTTTGAATTTAATGCATTGGGCAATCGGAAGCCAGTGGAGGGAATGACAGAGGGGGGTGGCAGAAGAGGAGCGGTTGGTAAGTGGATGAGTCTGGCCGCTGAGTTCAGGATAGACTGAAGCGGGGATAGCCTGTGTTGGGGTAGGCCGGTGAACTTTCTTCTGACATTGCCTCTAAACTGTTTGGTAGTGGTGAGGCTCTCTCCTTTTATCATTGTTTTTGTTTTATCATGTGTATTGATTCGTGTTTTTACTGCAATTAAAGATGTATACATTTTTCTTATTACAAGCCGCAGTTTGACCTCTTTTGGATCCGCTTGACTTAGGCATCTTGTGCCTCTGTCATTGTTTTCCCTTCTTTTTCCCTCTAAACTGTTTGCTTGAAATATTGTTTTTATAAGCACGTTACATTCATAGGTGTTAGTAAGATGCAGATCCAGTACACTCAAATAGTGTAATTTGGTTTACAAAAGTTTATTTGTTAAACTAAAGTTTTTAATGGAGATACTGAGGATAGTCCTACAGCTCTGCTGTTTGCATATTTTTGTCCAACCCCTGTAGAACATATCAAACACTAAATGATTTGCAGGTGTGAAAATGACATGTTTTGCGCTGAAAGCAGAAGTGATGTAACATTCTTTTGCTTTTGCTGTGTGATGAGACACCTAGCTAATAGGTGGGAAGCCTCACTTTTGTCGTTCCTGCGTACATTGCTAATAATACGGAGTCATGTCAGAGCTTACAAAGTTTCATAGAGGGCAGATTGTTGGTGCCCACTTCATTGGTTCCTCTGATTGTCAATTGACAATTGATTTGCTGTGTCACATGGTTATGACAGCATATATAGTTTCTGGGAAAACGTTGTCTGATACGCATAAGCGTTGTCAACATGGTCAGCTGACTGAAGTAGACAAAAGGACATTGTGACCCGGAATAGGAAAACAACTGCTGCAAAAGTGACTGCAGAGCTCAGTCTTCCAAAGCCGTGTTCACTAAAATTGTGCACAGGGAACTCCAGAAGCAAAACATTCACCGACGAGCTGAAATTGCCAAACCACCAGTGACTAACATTAATGCTCAGAAAAGGAGAGAGTGGTGCAACATCCATAAATCGTGGACCATCAACCAATGGAAGACTGTAATCGAGCTTCACACTGTTCCCAACCACCATACATGTTTACGTGTGGCAAGCATTGTCCCAGGCTTACAACCAGGACTGTCTTGTTTCAGTGGTAAAGCATGGTGGCAGCACAATCATGCTTTGGTTAGTCACTGCCAGCGACTATGTACAAATATTGGCCGACCATGTGCACCCCATGTGGCAGACATTGTTTCCCGAAGACAGCACCATTTATCAAGACGATAATGCTCTGATTCACACAGTTTGTGTCTTCAAATCGTTTTTTGATGAGCTTGCAGACAAACTCTTGCATCTTCCCTGGGCGCGCTAATCGCTAGACCTCAATATCATAGAGCCACTATGGTCGATTTTTTTCAGGCTCATTTTCCACCTTCGGCATCTCTGCGAGAACTAGAATGATTTTTACATGACGTGTGGTATCGGATTCCATTATTCACCATCCAAGACTTGTATTTGTGAATTCCCAGGAGAATTCAGTCCATCTTGGATACCAAAGCTGGCACAACACCCTATTCCTTTACCTGGTGTATTTCATTCCTTTACCTGGTGTTTCCATAATTTTGGCCAACCCCTGTATATCATTCTTTTACTTTACAAAAGAATTGGTTTGAGGTGAAAAGTATGTTTCTGTTAGTTTTAGTAACACTCTTTAATTCCATTATTTCATTTTACCCCATCAATTGGTTGTTTGGTTCATACAGTAACCTGATTGTAACATTTGGCCCATTTCTGCACTCTATTCCTGTTCCTATTGCATTAAAAAAAAAGAAGTGCGACCTAATTCTCGCGAATGTTATGCTTTGTATGGCTGTTCTATTTTAGTACATGCATGACTTACATTGATTAACATGCTTGAATTACACAGAGCTTTATGGTTTATATATGTTAATGTATGTTTTATACATTTACCTGGATAGGTTGGTGAAAGGTAGTTGGAGTGGGCCTCACACATACTGTCACTTTGCCTTTAACCGGCTCCCGCCTGCCATATAAGGTAATGACGGGTGCAAGGCGGTTTTCTCGTTCTGGGAGGACGTCATATGACGTCCTCCTATTCTAACGCGCGCATGAGCGGATCCGGGAGCGTACAGTGCGGCGATCGGTGGTGCGCTGTGTCTCTCAGACACAGCGGTTCACCGATCAACGGAAGGAGCCGAAGATGTTGGCTCGGTCATGTGATCAGCTGTGTCCAATCACAGCTGATCACATGTAAACAGGGAAATGCCGGTTATCGGCATTTCTTTCCTCACGAGCTGTCACGCTGACAGCTCGAGAGGAGAGGAGAGCCGGTAATCGGCTTTACTCAGAGGGGACATGTGCACTGATCATCAGGGCACTGATGATCAGTGTGCCCTGATCTGTGTAGCCCCAGCAGTGCCACCTGTCAGTATCCATCAGTGCCAGCTGTCAGTGCTCATCAATGCCACCTGCCAGTGCCCATCAGTGCTACATATCAGTGCCTACCAGTGCACATCAATACCGCATATCAGTGACCATCTGAGCTGCCTTTCAGTGCTACCTATCAGTGCCAGTCAGTGCTGCCTATCAGTGCCGCCTGTCAGTGCTGCATATCAGTGTTGCCTAACGGTGCCCGCCTAACAGTGCCGCCTATCAGTGCCACCTAACAGTGCCAGTCAGTGCCGCCTATCAGTGCCATATGAGTGCTGCCTTTCAGTGCCCATCAGTGATGCCTGTCAATGCCCATCAGTGCCTCCTCATCAGTGCAGCCTATCAGTGCCCATCAGTGCAGCCTATCAGTGCCCATCACTGCAGCCTCATTAGTGCACATCAGTGAAGGAAAAAAAATCACTTATTTACAAAATTATATAACAAAAACTAAGAAAAAACATGTTGTGTGTTTTTTTTTTTGTTTTTTTATTTTCAGTGGTTTTTGGTTTGTTTAGCCAAAAGTAAAAAAACCCAGAGGTGATTAAATACCACCAAAAGAAAGCTCTATCTGTCTCAAAAAAAATTATGAAAATTTCATATGGGTACAGTGTTGCATGACTGCGCAATTGTCATTCAAAGTGTGACAGCACTGAAAGCTGAAAATTGGCCTGGGCAGGAAGGGGGTATAAGTGCCCTATAGGTGAGTGGTTAGTAGTAGAGTCTCTTTACCTCTTTTGTCAACAGAGTGGTTTAAAGCTTAGATGTTCAGAATAAGTTCATCAGCTTTAGTTTGCAACAGTTAACTTGACAATCAGATTTTTTTCTTCTGCTAGAAAGCTGGTCCGTTGCACATTCCTAGTTCTCTGCAAAGTTAATTAGTCTCACTTTAAGGGGCAGTTTACATTTGAACTTGTAAAGTTGTATTGTGTTCAGAAAGGGGTAAGCTTCACCTAATAAACAATGGAGAGGACCATAGAGTTCACCCAGGGGTCTGGAAATGACAAATATAATATATTCATTTTCATTATTGTTATAATACAGGATTTATATAGCGCCAACAGTTTGCTCAGCGCTTTACAATATAACAGGAGACAATACAGCAACAATACAGTTCAGTACAAGGATAGGAGGGCCCTGCTCCTTGGAGCTTACAATCTAGGAGGGAGGATTATTTACCTAAATTAAAGTGATTTTATTTTTATATTTTAGTCCTAAACATAATTAAGTAAAAGGTATACTTTCCCTTGGATCTTATTTTTAATCATAGTTCATACTAAGCTCAAATACTAATGAGTTCCACATGTTTGTCTCCCAGATTATGCAGTTGAAGAGCGTCCATCCCAGATGTCGGTCATGCAGCAGCTGGAGGATGGTGGTCCAGATCCTTTGGTCTTCGTCCTAAATGCAAATCTTTTAGCAATGGTGAAGATTGTGAATTGTACGTGTTTTGTTGTTCAGTCTGTGGCATTTACCAGCCGTGTGTTTGCACAGGGCTGCTATGTTTTACACACCCGTGAAGGTGTTTTAATAATAAGTACACTTATAGTGATGTTGCACATTAACTTTGTCACTTTCATCATTCTCGCCTTGTTAATGAGTCATTTTCCATTTGTCACAACTACTTAAAAGTTTGAAGAATGGAGCATGTGGAACCTTGACTGTGTGGATGGAGGAATCTGTATTTTTTTTGTTCAACCCGCTGTCTGAACAAAAACAACAAATCATCTATGGCCAGATTTACAGTGAACTTCTCTTATTTTTCTCCCTGTTAATTTTGTCTGTTAAGTATCTGTTTCAGAAGTGCTCAAAAACAAACTGTTGATCTTGTTAGAAATTCAGAGATGTCCCGTGCTCTCTGCACATTTCCTGTGTTATCTCAAAGAGCCCATCTAGTTCATATCTTGGACTACAGAATGAATGGCCTTTATGTTGTAGTGGTCTGAAACTGGGATTGGTTGAGCAGTTTAGCAAAGATAACTGGACAGGGCTGACAGTACTTGGTCCACAATAAAATATGTATTGTCCGCATAGAACGGGGCGTAAGAACTAAGTTCATTTCTGGCAGATCTAGAGGTTTTTTGCTGTACTTAAAGGGGCTTTAAAAACATAAAACACAGGAAAAGGTGCATATAATGAAGAGATGTACTACATTTTTTTTTTTTTTATGTGCTTTGACATATGCTTTAATACTGAGCTAAAAGTGACAGTTATAGAAAATCCTGCATTCTGGGAACAGTCCAAATGATTACTTTGAAGAACCTTAAACTGCTCTGTATCCACAAGACCTTTAACAAAAGATGTGTGTATACAAAACATCCATAAACCTCCCTTTTCTAGCCATTTTCTTTAAATTTCCAATCACAGGAGCACAGTTGGGAGACAGGGAAAGTGCATTGACAGGGAAAGTGCCTAAAAGGAAACCTTTATGCAAGTGTCAGGTATTACTTTTTAATGTTTACAGGCATAAAGATATTGAAAATTACTGTTGAATTTACATTAAAGCTTAGATTCTCTTGACTTTACTTTTAACATAGTAAAGTTTATATGAGAATTTACTGGTTAGGTTTACATTTTCTTTAAAAGAGGATGTCCACATACTTAAAACCAGGGTGGATTTGATTTAAATCAAACTGATTTAAATCACGATTTAAATCACTAGTCAGTAAGGCTTGATTTAAATCCTAGTTTTCTACATAAAGACTAATTCTTGCTGGTATAACTGTAATATGCAAGTAGATGAAGGTTTTTAGAATAACAACTTTTCATATTAGTTTTTTTTATCCCCAGTTTAATAGGTTAATCATTCATATTTGGACAACTTTTCTGTTGTACTTAGGAAGGAGAAAAATAATCATTACCTTAATAATAACAATTTAAATAGATTTATTCAACTGAAACAATAACATTCCAGCATATGTTATTTGCTTAAACAAACATCCATGTTTGTTAACTAATTTGGCTAAACAAAATATATATATTTTAAGAAACTTAGACTGTCAGCCCCTTCCTCCTCACGCTTAGTTTCACTTTCTTCTTGTGCAGATCTATTCCACTCCAAACAATCAGAAAAATATTGTTTCTATTCTATTCACTGAACTTCTTGAAATTTAGCACTGAAGGGGTTGATTCTGTATTCATAGGTCTGTAGAAGTTAGGATTAAGGTCTTTTTCTTAACTCTGTTCATGTTATAACATTTGTGCTGTGAAGAAGAGGCATGTGATCTCCGCTGAGTCAAATTCAGTTTTGAGAACTGCAAAAGTAAACCAATCATCTGTGATAATATCTTGTAGGCAGAGAAACTGCCCAATAATCTTACAAAAACCTCTGGAAGAGCATGACATTGTGAATGGATTCATGGGATTTATTTACCAAAAAAATTAAACGTATACAGCCTTATTCTACATAATTAAAAAACTAATCTTTATTTCATGATGGAATAACCTTTGGATGGTAATATATTTTCCTCAAAAAGGATTTTATTCAAAAAAATCCAATTTTAAATAAAAAAAAAATCCGATTTAAATAAAAAAAAAAAAAACGATTTTAAAAAAAAAAAATCAGTTTTTAAAAAAAAAAAAAAAAAAAAAAATCATTGATTCTTATCCACCCTGCTTAAAATATTACATATCGTCTTTATAGTATAAGTTCACGTGACACGCACACACCCCCACTCACCTGATCTCCCGCCTTCCCTGTGACAGCAGACGGGGACGACGACGACTTCTCCTCGTACTCGCTGTCACATTTTAAAAATAGTACGGCGGTGTGGGGCTCCGCCCACACAGTAGTGTCATTCATAGAGTTCTGTGAATGATACAACTACAAGTACTGTAAGCCATTGCAGTTGACAGCTTGTAGTTCTCAATGTACTGCAAGTGGGCTTATGAGCACTCTCGTAGTTCATTCACAAACCTTGCAGCTTGTAAACAGTCAGCCCGTATCAGAGGTACGGGCTGAAAACTGCAGGGCTTGTCTGAGGGAACTTGATCCTTGCACCCCTGGTCCATCGATCATGGGTGCAATCATTTGCAAGCTTCTGAGGGGAAAAAAAAAGGCACATATTGTTTTCTAATACTGTGCTGCTAGATATTTTCAAAGCAGTGCAGCTATGCCATAATTCAGGTACAAGGCACTAGGACTAGGAATGGCATATTGTTTCTTCTCCATGACCCTTTAAAGGTCATAGAGCTGACCTCTGTGCTGGAAAGCAGGGTCAGCAACATTGATATTATCCATCCCATAAATGCTGGTGAAGTTTTATAGAAAAGGTTTAGGGTTAATAACCGAATGCTGGGTACTCCTGAATGTACATAGTGTAATAATTACACAGCATTCTTTGAAAACTTGGTAATTAAAGTCATATTGAGGGGAATTCAATAAAGCCGATGCACCAGTTGTGCAGTAAATTCAGATCTAAAATGCGCCAATTTTACCTTGTGTCAAATTGAATGTGCAACTTTTACATTGTGTCACATTGAAAGTGCCAAAATTAAAAATGGAGCTAATTAAAGTGGAACTTCACTTTCTTAATTTTTTCAGCTAAGCACACCCTCCTGTGGGCATGCCTAAACTAAGGGAAGATGGATTCAGGGAAATAATTGCTACATTAATCATCTGCCCTTACTCAATGTGGCCATGACCAGAAATGCTAGGGGGTGTTTTTCTAAAAGATTTCAGCAAAATAAAACATGGGGACATGTATGGATGGGTGAGTTTACTTTGAATATTAAAAATTAATGAAATATCCCTTTTGGTTTGTGCTCAGACACAGTGTAGTTCAGACCAACTCTCTTTTGGTGTACAGCGATAGAATCTGGTTCAAACAGATTTTGCAAAAGTGTTTCACATGCGTTCTAAATGTTGCGCAACATGAGCCAAATTCAAGTACAAGCTCTATACAGGTACATGAATTTGGTGCATTATTCCCCACTATTAGAATGCAAGAGAGAGTCTTTTGCGAAATCTGCCTGCGACAGTCTTTATGAATTCCGGGGATTTCCTTGTTGGTCCAGAATCATGCTGTTGCGGGATTTTTTAAGAAGTACAAAAACAGAGCCAGATTTCAGAATGCTGAAAAGTGGCAATAGAAGCTTACCCTGTGATGCTCTGTTGTACCCTGCAAGATTGATGGAGATTGCCAATGGTGACAACCATTTCTCCAGTTCTCCTGCTAAATACTTGGCCTTCATAGCAGGAGACAAGATCCCTGTTTCCGCTAATCAGGAATCTTGTTGAATCTTCCCATTCCTACTACTTTATTCCCCCGACTGTTCTGCTTGCATAGTTGTTTGGGACCACAATTTCCTTTATTGCCACTAGACAACCGTTTTGGATGACAAGTGATCTCCTAACCCAGTGTTTTTTTTTTTGTCTGATGCACTGAACTTACATACTTGGTATACCGAAGAGCATGTATGAGGGGTGACTGAAAGGTTCTCAGCCTACCCATGAAGCATTTGTCTTGGCCCAATTTTATTTTTGCTACTCATATTACATATCTTTGCAAGGTTCCATACCAAATTTCTCACAAATAGCTTTTTCTTTGTTTTGGTTATTTAAGACTGAAGCGCAGAAGGTCATCATTGTCTGAAAGATGGAGAAAGTGAGCAAACGTGCTGTTATCCAATACCTGCTGAAAAAGGGAATGAGTGGACAGGACATCCACAAGGACATGATGGAAACATTAGGGTAGTATGTCCCTTCCTATTCCACCTTTAAAAAGTGGATGGAGGAATTCAAGAGGGGGAACACCTCTGTCCAAGATGCCCTTCGCAGTGAAAGGCCAGCAACTGCCTGTATGGAGGAAAACATCACAGCAATCCAGGATCTGGTAATGGCAGACAGGCGTGTGACAGAACGTTGCACCGCAGAGAAAGTGGGCATATCCCAGGAACATGTTGGACACATTTTAACAGTAGTGCTGGACATGCACAAGGTGTCAAGTCGGTGGGTCCCAAGAATGTTGACTGTTGAAAACAAGCGCGACAGACAGCAGCTATTGGATAACAGCACGTTTACTCGCTTCTCCATCTTTCAGACAATGATGAACTTCTGCGCTTCAGTCTTCAATAACTTAAACAGAGAAAAAGCTATTTGTGAGAAATTTGGTATGGAACCTTGCAAAGATATGTACTAAGAGTAGCAAAAATAAAATTGGGCCAAGACAAATGCTTCATAGGTAGGCCGAGAACTTTTCAGTCTCCCCTCATAGTGTATTGTAAGTTTTTTCTGTTTAGCTGTAGAGGGTTGGTGTTCTCCATTGTAGCTGTTCATTGTCTTTGCAGATTGGTGGTTAAGTGCAACCTTGACATGTATTAAAACCAGAAAATGTGTTTTCGATGGCTATAAATGTAGCTGCTATTATTTTTTTTTTCTTACAAAAAAGATACTGCATCCCTAATGACTTCTGGTAAGTGACATCTGCTTTATGCAGGTGCTTGTTATAACACCAGGTAGGCAGCGTATAAGTCACAGCAATTGATATGCCAGGTTTGTATACAGAGAGGTTAAAAAGTTCCATTAAGTGCAGTGTTTTTCTTTCTGCAGATGTGAACAGAAAGTGCTGGTGTTTCACCACGAAAGGCATGCATGCGGTTGGCCAGGCAGAGATAGTCATCCTGCTGCAGTGTTTGCCCGATGAAAAATGCTTGCCTAGAGACATCTTCAGCCACTTTGTGGAGCTCTACAAGGAAGCCTTGGCAGGTAAGAATGTAATATAGGTGACTTGATTTACAAGTATAAGATGCTGGTCTCTCCGTTTCCTGAATATCAGACAATACATTTGCGTTGTGCTCTGTACTTTATTATAAAAAGTCGTGCTGCTTCAATGTTCACTATACTGGACTTTGTTAGACTGTCCTGTAGGGTAATTATTGTTGATTAATAATTATATCAAAAAAGGAAAGGTCATTCTGAATTTTGTTAGGCTTTAAGGCCTCGTTCACACCATATGTGCAGAAAAAATGATGGAATCTGACGTGCAGATTTCACTTGCAAGACATTAGTTTTTATGCATGCTGCACTGAGTTTTATTTTTTTGCACTATAAAAAAAAAAAAACTACCAATTTTGAGAAAAACCCCCAATATTTTTGACTTTTTGCTATTAAACATGTCCAGTAAAAAAATCAAATTTGGCATAAATTTAGACCAAAATGTATTCTGCTACATGTTTTTGCTGAAAAAAAAAATCCCATTACGCGTAAATTAATTGGTTTACGTGAAAGTTATAGCGTCTACAAACAATATATACGGTATACTGGAATTAAAAAAAAAAAAAAAAAATACTAGTAATGGCGACAATCAGCGACTTGTTGCGGGACTGTGGCGGGCATTCTGACACTGGGGGGAACCAAGTAACTGTCACTGACATCCCCAGTGACACCAATACAGTGATCAGTGCTAATAAAAAGCCGACACTGTTTTAATGGCACTGGGCAGGAAGGGATTAACATCTGGGGCCATTAAAGGGTTAACTGTGTGCTGTTTTGCTGTGTGTGTGCTTTACACTGTAAGCACACTGCTTTGTATCACTTTGTTATGCAGAGCCATACAGAGCAGTGTGCAGGAGCTGGCAGGGAAGAGATCTGATTTTTTTACATACAGGTTTCTCCCCCGTCTGTGATACACAGCGATCGCCGGGTGCCGGCCGGGACCTGGTGATTGACAAGTGAGGCCACCAGTGGCGGTGCCGGTACCCGGAAATGCAAAATCACTTACATATACGTGATTTTGCACACCCATGCCGCCCTGTAGCAGTACTTCTACTATAGGGTGGCGGGAAAGTGGTTAATTACTTCCCAGAATACAAATATTCCTTACCACTACAGTCATTGATTGGCCGTCTGAAACCTGCACCTAGTTTTTACCGCCCACCAATACTTTCACTCTTCTAAATTTTTCTCTTTCATACTAGGTACCATGGTGGGGAATCTGGGACACTCTTTTGTGAGCCAGAGTTTCCTGGGCAGCAAGGAACATGGAGGATTCTTGTATGTGACACCCACATACCAGTCTTTGCAAGATTTGGTTCTCCCTGCTCAGCCCTACCTTTTTGGAATCCTCATCCAGAAGTGGGAGACACCATGGGCCAAGGTTTTTTCCCATGCGTCTTATGCTGCGCTTGGGAGCGGAGTATAGATGTGAGTACCTATATATATTGTGGAAAGATATATGTTCACGGTTTTTGTTTTTTTCTCAAAGATGATTCAGTCCTCCCTAGAAGGCCCTGTTAAGTTGGATGTAGTCATTGCTCAGTAGATGTGATTAAGCTCAGAGCTTTAAACTTTCTCTGAGTCATTACTGTTGGTCTGAACAAAAGTTCACAATTTAAATTGTACTAATCAAAGTCTGGTATGTTTTTTTTCACAGGTAAATGGTATGTTTGAGCACTGTATTGTAGCTATGATCAGCAAGAAACTGTAGGAACGTGCTTTCACCTTTTAACCTTTGCTGGGTCTTTTCCATCTCTGTGTTTAAGTTGCTATTGTTTTTTAAAGCAGCAATCAGTGAACAATTAGGTCTCGTTTACACTGGCCTACTACAGTGTACATTCACACAAGGGCTGTGTTGGCCTGCACTGGGATGCACAGGTGTCGCTTGCATGCCTATGTAGGAAGTCCCATTCATATCAACTGGGACACATACAACCGCTGCTCCCAGTTTGACAGCTGTATAGATGCATGGGGGCCCTGAACACACACTGTCTGCATTTGGAACTTTGCATGTGCACAGCTGTCAAATTGAGAGCAATAGTTGTGTCCCTGCAGCCACTGTGTCCCATTTGACTTGAATGGGATTACTGTGAAGAGAAAAACAAACAAAAAGCGCACCAACCTTGCGCATTACCTCAATAAACCAAAATTTATTAGTCACAGAATAATACAAACAATGAAGTATATCAAGCATGTAAGTCCACAAAGGGACTAAGGATAAAAGTAGCCTGCGCAAGTCCCATCATAGGAGTGGACACTCAGGTAACAGTTGACGCGTTTTCGAAGGGCGGTTTATTGAGGTAATGCACAAGGTTGGTGCGCTTTTTGTTTGTTTTTCGCTTCACAGTATTGGTTGGGCTTCCCCAGCCTTGTTTGAAGCTGCACAACTGCATATGCACTGGTGGTAGAAATTTTGAAGTCCTGGTTCCATCTTCCTACCCCGGGTTGGGTCACAGAGTGCAAGAGAGTTCGTTTTTCTTCTACATGAATGGGATTGCCTACATGGGGATGCACAGAACACCTGTGTGTCCCCTACAGACAAACATGGTCCTCACACAGGTGTATGCTATAGTACACCCGTGTGAATGAGGCTTTAGGAACTCTTACATTGCTTAGTATGACTAGAATCATTACCAGACAGGGTGTATCCTTATAGATTGTCTTCTGTTTCCACTTAGTGTATCCATGTCCGCTGTTCAGTGTCAGATTCAGAAAGCCTCTGTTTGGAGAGACGGGCCACACAATCATCAATGTCCTGGCTGTGAGTGTCCCACACACCATTCTGTCTTCAGCCTGAAGTTATATGACATCTTGCTCTGCATTTCTCCAACACTTTTTGCTCTCACCTAAACTCTTTTTACTGTTACACTGACCCTTCATATAGAGGGATTGTTGCATATCCTTTGCGATTCCACTACTAGCAGTTGCTGGAGTATACAGGATATAAATGGGTACAGCAGAAGAAAGCTGGGAGCCGTGCTTTGCATGAAGGTCCAGCTCCATGATTTTACGCTAAATATCTGTTTATTGGAAGCTGTCATTGTGTGACTTACAAGCCACATATTCCTCACCTCGCTTGCAAGAATGCTAGACCGATAGCTCACTGCCTGGAAATGAACATACAATATGTGTGTCAGACATTGGCTCCCCCAATAAAAAAAATGTATTTAGAGTGGAATGTTTCCTTTTGGTTTAATGCTGCTTGTGTCCCCAATGTTCTTGAGGTGCAGGTCTTTCTTTAGGTCTTCATTGTGTTTTGAGGCTGACATAGTCTCTATGGCATAACTGTTGCATGACTTGCATACAAGCTGGATACTATGAACATTTGTTTCTTCAAATGTACAATTATCCTTTGTGTCTTTGTACTGCTTTTCCTTTTTTTTTTTTTTTTTTTTTTTTTTTTTTTTCCTCCCTTCAGTCCTCTCTCTTCTACCAAATGTCTCATATTTAAAATTCGTCCAACACATTTTTCCACTTGCAAAATACAGAAACCTGTTGCATCACTACTGATGAACATCCCCAGCACTCCTCTGCGCTGGGTGCTGGCTCCTACAAGTCTCATCCACACCTCTCAATAGCACCTAAACAAAGAAAAGAAATGAAAGCCACACATAGATGTTTACCACAGTGACTGCTGCTGTTCTGGTGTCTGCATAGAGTGTGTGTGTTCTTCCCATCGTTGTTTAGGTATTGCTTAGATGCTTCTAGTTCTTCAACTAATCCAAAACTAGCTTCAAAGCTTATAAGAGGTCTGTTTAGCACAAGGTAGAATAATAAAGTGTACAGTGGCCAAGAAATCCACAATGTGGCTTCCCTTTTTATTAACCAATTTGTGCTTCACACAGAAAACCATTTACATCAATCCTGGCCTGTGAAAGCACTTAATAGATTTAAAGCCCCCACCCCTAGCAGTCATACACAATAAGAACAAAGAAACCGGGTTGATAAGTTCACTTAGCATTATGGTTTTGGATTGTTTGAGGAAACACATGTATGTGGGGGATACCGAAACAAACATGGGAAGAAGAGAGAGACTCCATGTAGACACCAGCACTACTGCAATTACCATGGTATATCCATGCCAGATAAGAAAAATGTCTCCTTAGGTAGCAATAATTTGGAATTGAATTAAAAAATCTATATGCATACCCAAAATAACATTCCTTTAATTGTTCCACCTTGCTTATCCTCCTTCCACTCTGCCTTTCAGCCTGGTACATATGGACCTAAGTGTGCAGGTCATTGCTCTTCACTTGTTCCCATCTCTTATCTATTGAGTTGGATTCTTCAGTATTACATAATGTTTACTGACCTCTTGTCCACAGGAAGGTCTAAACAGCAAACATGTCTGCAGTCCTTTGGTATAGCAGTGTTTAAACCTTTTCAGGTCTTTCTTTTTCTTTCTAATGGTGCCTGAAGGGGTTTATTCAGTCTTTATACCCAAGATCATTAGACTTTGACACCCTATAGCAGGGGTGTCAAAATCGATCAGCATTTCGGTTGCCCTCAAAGGGCTGGCTGAATCCGTAAGACTGTTTGCAGAGTTCAGGAGTATGCAACATATAGAGTGCAGAGTTCAGGAGTATGCAACATATAGAGTGTAGAGTTCAGGAGTATGCAACGTAGGAGTGCATTATGTGCGGAGTGCATGGTTGAGAAGTGCGTTATGCATAGAGTGCAGGGTTTAGGGATGTGCTATGCACACAGTGCAAGGTTCAACTCTTTTTCACAGTCTGTCCACATCTCGCTTCCACCCTTCCTCCTCGGCTCTGACTTCTGCACACATCTCTCTCCACAGCCAAAAACTTCTTTGCATATCACATACCCAGCACAGCTCTTGTACGCTCCTGGCAGTGAGGGGCCCCTGCCTCTCTCACTTGCAGGGAGATCATTGGTCCGCATCTGTCCCTGCTGTGACTGCATGCAGGACAGGAAGGGATCTGGGAGAGCTGTGAACCACCAAGAGGAAAGCTGCCTTGTAAACGCAGAAGGCTTCTCTGTTTACAAGTGACAGCATTGAGCGGGGACCGAAAAGGTGACAACTGGATATGGCGAAACAGTTCTGACTGACAAAAATCCCTGGTGAGAGGATCATATGAAATAGTCTGGTGGGCTAAATCCTGTCCACTGGCCTTGTGTTGGACATGTGCCCTATTGCTTACCTGACTATTTTTAGTCAGGTGTATTTAATAACCCTGCAGTATTTTATTGTTGGAGCTCAACAATTTAGACTGCTACTATTATTATCACTAGACTATTTTTAAATGAATTCTTGTTAAAAAATTAAGTTCTGTGGGATTTGAGGCTTATTTAAACATGGAAATTTATATTTAGAAAACCAGATTAGAATGCTTTATGAAGAATACATGCAAGACCTTCCACACTCACTCTCTGCTTGTGTTTTTTACATCAAGGATTTCCGCAACTACCAGTATACTCTGCCGGTGGTTCAAGGCTTGGTTGTGGATATGGAAGTCAGAAAAACCAGCATTAAAATTCCCAGCAATCGATACAATGAGGTATTTGTTCTTGTGATGTCTATACAGTTCTAGAAAGAAAGGTACTGTCCCTGTTTTTTTTTTCTATCTCAACCTACCATTGGTTAGGGTTTTTTAAAGGCTAACTCCACCTTTTAAGACTGTTGTGTCACTCCAATATTTAGGATATAACATTGTGCCAAATGGTCTTTCACCCCCACAGCAGTTTTCTAATTTTTAAATCAGTGTGACTTTGGCTCTGTTTGCACAGCTATGTCACAAAGTTCTGTAAATGAATAAACTACAAGTTCCATCTGCCACTGCAGCAGAAGTAGTTGTAGTTCTCCATGGAACACAAGCACAATGATTACTACACTCATAGTCCATTGACACTTCCTCCAGCTCACTAACCAAAAGTCTACAAGTCCATACCTTGATATAGACATTGAGCTGGAGAATGGTCTGCGGGAGTCTAACATTGCACCTGAAATCACTGATCAGGGCTGCAATGCTTCACAGGCTCATTAAAAAAAAAAAAAAAAAAAACTTTCTGAAAGTGCATCACACCCGCAAGATTTAATAGAAAGAGTGGAAAAGTGCAGCTAACCCACAGGAAAGGGGTGGGCAAACTGCAGAGCATCAGTGTGAAAGCAGCCTTCTAGTGCGCTCAGGATAGTATGGGCTCATTTACGTTTGCGGTTTGGGGGCCGTATAAACCAATAGTTGATGCTCCGGGGAGCCCAAGCGACCTCCCTATCACATTCTGTTTCACACTTGGACAGGAGGGGTGGCAAAGGCAACATATAGGAACTGATCCTCTCCATTTTCCTTTTGCAACCACTGAAAGCCGACTTCTCCTCCTCTCACCAGCAGTCAGCAGGTGCAGGAGGAAAATGTTCAGTATATTATTCAAAATTAAAAGTGAAATTCTGAACCATTCCATTTCATTGTGGCTCGCGACTGGTTACCAAATCACTTATTTGGTCCTCGCTCTTCAAAAGTTTAAGCACCCCTGCTCTACAGGATCACTAGTGATAATATGAAGACACTACCTTGCATGTATTTTAGGCCAGGTCAAGTTCTGTTTAATTTTACATTGTAAGGCTCCATTCACACTTGTGCAACTTTGGACATCAAACTCCCATGCCAAATCGCAGCCCATTCTTTTTAGTGGGCACGTGTTCAAATTGCAACAACTTTAAAAAGGTGAATGTGCTACTTTGATGAGACTTTTTGGTCAAGAGAATGTAAGGTGGGATCAAAGTCGCATGAAAATCATTCTCCAAAGTAGCACTGGAAATTGTGCGATTTTGGAGACATGCTAATGTGAATGGAGCCTAAGAGTGTGTTGCTTTTATCTCTAGATGGGAGTTTATAAATACAGAAACACATTAACCACTTCAAGTCCGGACACTTTTACCCCCTTCCTGTCCAGGCCAATTTTCAGCTTTCAGCGCTATCACACTTTGAATGACAATTGCGTGGTCATGCAACATTGTACCCATATGAATTTTTTAGCATTTTTTTGAGACCGATAAAACTTTATTTTGGTGGTATTTATTCACCACTGGAATTTTTTTTTTCTTCGCTATATTTTTTTTTTATATATTTTATATATTTATATATATATATATATATATATATATATATATATATATATATATATTAATGAAAAAGTCCAAAAATTTTGAAAAAAAGTGTTTCTTATAAAATTTTGCAAATAAATAATCTTTCTTCATAAATCTTGGCCAAAATGTAATTAGCTATCTTTTTAGTAAAAAAAAACCAAAAAACAAATTACCGTATTTTCCGGCGTATAAGACGACTTTTTACCCCTTGAAAATCTTCTGAAAAGTCGGGGGTCGTCTTATACGCCGGTAACGGCATGCTGACACTTTTTAGGGGGGCGGCGGCACCCCCCCCCCCCCCTCCAACAGAAGGGACACTAAGTACAGGGGGTGGCAGGGGCTGCTGTCTCTTACCTGGCTCCGGTCCCACGACGATCCGGTCCAGGATGCGCGGCTGCTCCTCCTTTGTCCACTGGATGTTTGCGCGGCTGCTCGGCTCCGCCTCCTCCCCGGTGATTGGCTGCCAGAACTGTTGCTCAGGAAAGGCACACAGGCGACCAATCACCGACGAGGAGGCGGAGCTGAGCGGCCCCGCGAAAATCGAGTGGAGATGCAAGTAAGTGTGCCGTGCTTAGGTGCTGCTGCAACCACATATGCTGGCTGCAGCAGCACCGTACTGGAACAGGGTCAGCAAGTGTCAGTGGGAGGAATAGTGCCCCATCGTTGGTGTCACTGATACCAATGATGGGGCATTATTCCTCCCACTGACACCCACGATGGGGCACTTTTCCTCCCCCCTACTGACATCAACGATGGGGCACTATTCCTCCCCCCCACTGACACCAATGATGGGGCACTATTCCTCCCCCCCCACTGACACCAATGATGGGGCACTATTCCACCCCCCACTGACACCAATGATGGGATACTATTCCTCCCACTGACACCAAAGATGGGGCACTATTCCCCCCCAATGATACTAATGATGGGGCATTATTCCTCCCCCCCAATGATACTAATGATGGGGCACTATTCCACCCCCCCCCCAAATGATACTAATTGTGGGGCACTATTCCCCCACTGATACCAATGATGGGGACACTATTCCTCCCACTGACACAATGATGGGGCACTATTCCTGCCACTGATACCAATGATGGGGCACTATTCCTGCCACTGATACCAATGATGGGGCACTATTCCTTCCCCCCACTGACACCAACGATGCGGCATTATTCCTCCCCCCCACTGACACCAACGATGGGGCACTATTCCTCCCCCCCCCACTGACACCAACGATGGGGCACTATTCCTCCCCCCCCCCACTGACACCAACGATGGGGCACTATTCCTCCCCCCCCACTGACACCAACGATGGGGCACTATTCCCCCCCCCCCCCACTGACACCAATGATGGGGCACTATTCCACCCCCCACTGACACCAATGATGGGATACTATTCCCCCCACTGACACCAAAGATGGGGCACTATTCCCACTGACACCAATGATGGGGCACTATTCCCCCCAATGATACTAATGATGGGGCACTATTCCTCCCACTGATACCAATGATGGGGACACTATTCCTCCCACTGATACCAATGATGGGACACTATTCCTCCCACTGACACCAATGATGGGGCACTATTCCTCCCACTGATACCAATGATGGGGCACTATTCCTCCCACTGATACCAATGATGGGACACTATTCCTTCCACTGACACCAATGATGGGGCGCTATTCCTGCCACTGATACTAATGATGGGGTGCTATTCCTCCCACTGACACCAATGATGGGGCACTATTCCTGCCACTGATACTAATGAAGGGGCACTATTCCTGCCACTGATACCAATGATGGGGCACTGTTCCTCCCACTGACACCAATGATGGGGCACTATTCCTCCCACTGACACCAATGATGGGGCACTATTCCTCCCACTGATTCCTCCCACTGACAATGATGGGGCACTATTCCTCCCACTGACACCAATGATGGGGCACTATTCCTCCCACTGACACCAATGATGGGGCACTATTCCTCCCACTAATACCAATGATGGGGCACTATTCCTCCCACTGACACCAATGATGGGGCACGATTCTTCCCACTGGTGTGCACTGGAAGAGGGGTAGTCTTATACGGCGAGTATAGCCCAAACACTACATTTTAGCAGGAAAAGTAGGGGGTTGTCTTATACGCCCAGTCATCTTATACGCCGGAAAATACAGTAGTTTATAACAAAAAATCATAATTGTTAAAAATTTTTTTTTACTTCATTTTTATTTATTTTTTTTACATACTGTCACCCTAGCAGTACAGTGTCACCATAGTGGCACTGTACTACTTGTGGGGGGTAATGAAGATTTTTTTTTTTTACACTGATCGCTTTTACACCCATAAAGGCTGTAAAAGCAATCATTTCTCCTCCTCCTCTGGCTGCATTTTTGCAGCCATTGAGAAATACTGTGCGAGCTGTGATTGGTCACAGCTTGTCACATGGTACAAGGCTGTTGTGAACTGCCTTGTACCATGTGACCTCTGACTGATTGGCTGATCAGTGATCACATGATTGGGACCTCACACAGAGGTGCCGTACAACGATCAGTGTTCCACTGTGTTCGAAGGACACAGCGGGCATCGGATCGCTGTGCTGCACTCTGCCAGGGAGCGCGCACAAGCAGGGAGTGGGGAGGCCGTTTATAAATATATATATATATATATACACGGGCTGGACAGGAAGTGGTTAACAGGTTCATTCTTTTCAGTTTATGTTCAATTACTGGAGGATCAAATAATAAAAAAAAAAAAAAAATCAAATACAAAAAAGACAGATGTCTTTTTAGATTCCAGCATATATGAGGTCTTTGATATGTTTAAGTCCTCAGTGATCATGGAGGTCAAGAATTAACAGACAAAACCTTATAATTTCCTGATGTTAATCACAGTATTACTGAAAGGCTTTTGTTCTAGCTTAACTTTTTAATAGGTATATTCTGTTTTATTCCTGTGGATGCTGTGTTATATTGATTTTATGATTTCCTGTGCAGCTTTGTCTCAGTAGGACATGCTGGTATTGTTTTGGCCAGCTCTATGGTTATCATGCCGCCTTTTCTCACTCTGTTTTCTGTACTCGTTTCTCTTGATTTGTAGATGATGAAAGCCATGAATAAATCTAATGAGCACGTCCTGGCTGGAGGCACATGCTTCAATCAGAAGGCTGACTCTCACCTGGTGTGTGTGCAGAATGATGACGGCAATTACCAGACTCAAGCCATCAGTATACACAAGCAACCGCGTAAAGGTGAGGACTGTCTTCTGATACTGAAGATAAACAGCCTCTTGTAATTGTGGAATTGGTGATTAAAAAATTAAAGTTTTAAAAGGGATTTACCACTTTCATCTAAAGTTAAAAGCCTTGTGGTTGTTCTTGCTCTGGGCCCTCTTCCAGTCAGTTGTTTTCCAGTTTTAATAAGCTTCCTCCAGGTTACTGCAGCTTTTGTAACCTCTTGCCCTCTTTACACCCTGGTCACACTGGATGCAAATTGGCATGCGATTTGCAAATCATTGCACCATTTTGTCCACAATTCCAGCGGTCATATCGGTGCGGTTCCAACTTGGTCGGAGCTGCACCGATTTCAAAAGTAGTGTATGCACTACTTTTGGTGCAATTTGCATAGACATCTGTATCAGATGTCTTGCAAATCGCACCTGAAATCACTGTAAGTCGCACGATTTCAAAGTCGGGTTTGATGTAACCGGGGTTTAAATGTATTGTACAGTTACTGTTCAGAAATACATTACTTTTTGTGGCCTTTTAACCTCTTCACGCTGGCCGCACACAAATGTGCAGACTCCCGGCGTCTGGACCTAGACGCCGAGCGGCCTCACATTTGTGTGCAATTAACAAAAAACATATGTGCTGAGAGCACGGACCCTGCGCGCTCCCAGCACACATGTCCGGTACTCACGGAGAGGTCTTGGTCTGCTCTTTCGATCGGGACCTTTCCCGATCATGTGATCGCCGTGATAACGCGTCAGGGCAGTCACATGATCCCTAAACCTCGTCCCGCCTCCCAGCTTCTGAAACTCTTAAAGGGCCGGGAGGCCCTTAGGGAGGCCCGGAAGGGGTTAATCTAGAGCAGGGGTCTGCAACCTTTAAGACATAAAGAGCCACTTGGACCCGTTTCCGAGAGGGAAAAAAAGACTGGGAGCCGTAAAACCATTGCAACATTTAAAACAAATCCGACACTGCATATATTGCAAAAAGCGCTCTGGTCAGTAATTCATACCCCCCCATAGTAATTCATCCCCCCATATGGGAGTTTAAGGGCCCAGTAAGCAAAAGGTTAATCAGGGCCACAGTGTATCGTCATAATCACAATCATAGCCTTAGGTCAGTGGTGGGCAACCTTTTTTTTTCAACTGAGCCAAATCTCGCCAAAACCACGATTGAAATTTATTTTGAGAGCCACATTTTTAAAACTGAAAATACATCCCCCATATAGTAATTCATCCCCCATAGTAATTCATCCCCCCTAGTAATTCATCCCCCATATAGTAATTCATCCCCCACATAGTAATTCATCCCCCACATAGTAATTCATCCCCCACATAGTAATTCATCCCCCCACATAGTAATTCATCCCTCACATAGTAATTCATCCCCCCCATAGTAATTCATCCCCCCTATAGTAATTCATCCCCCCTATAGTAATTCATCCCCCATATAGTAATTCATCCCCCATAGTAATTCATCCCCCATATTGTGTCAATTCACTTACCTTTGCTCCATGCGTTCCTCTCGCCGTGTTCCCGCGCCGTTCCGGTCTTCAGGGCGGACTGTGAGAGGAGAGGAGTTCGTCACGCTGCCCCGCCTACATCCTGACAGCCAATGTTTGCCACGCTCCGCGGGCCGGATTAAAAGGTCCACCGGGCCGTAGTTTGCCCATTGCTGGGCTAGCTGCAGAGTCCTGACTTTTGGGGCGGCCGCCCGAGAGGAGGGAGGGGAGCGGGCGCCCGGCACACAGAAGACCCTATTGCCGGTCACCTGGTGGGCAGTGTGCTCCGGAGCCGCAGCCAAGGTGAAAAAGAGCCGCGGGTTGCCGACACCCGATCTAGAGCAACCTCAAACCTAAAGACATTTGAGGAACTCTGAGATTTCTTCCAGCCTCTGCGATGCTGTTTTGTAGTCAAGCAATTGACGTGGGAAATTAGAGTAGGGAGGGTCCAGTACAATATACTGCGGTGCCGACTGGATTTTATTTTGAAGCTGATATCCATCTAAACAGCTAGTTGTATCTAAACATAGTTGACATTTTTGAACAGGTTTAGCTGCCAAAGTATTTGCCAATATTTAAGTGAATCTTGAAATCCAGGCACCCCTTTCAAAAAGCATGATTACTTTTTCTTTTTCTCTTTTACTGAGCTTAAAGGCATTCTACACTTAAAATATTTATGTAGGTTTAACTAAGTATTAGTGTAGTTCTATTCCCTGTACCGTTTGTTTGCCTTGCCTTGTAATCATGGGCTCACATTTTGTGGTCATAGTTTGTGGTGTCAAGGCTTGATTCCCCTATGTCCTCGCATTAATTCACCTAGCTTGATCCTTTTTACTATGGATGGGCAGCTTTTGGGTCACAAACCATGCCTCTCCATCACAAATGTGGGAGTGCTAATATGATGAAAAACTGCATGGTGATTTTTATTTGAATTGCTCTGCCTGCTTGTGTCTGATCTAATTAATTAGCTCTCACCTGAGAGTGTCTGTTTCCTAGACTACAGACAGAGGTCAAGCATCAACCTGTGCAATGCCATGCTGCATGCCTCATGTTTGAACACAAACAGAAACTTCTGACACTGGAATGTGAAGATTTACATCGCTATAGAATGTGCACGCAGGCCAACAAATGACTCCATTAACCAATTGATCTCCGTAAATTTTATTCCCCTCCTTGACCAAGCCATTTTTTGCTATTTGGCGCACACCGCTATTTTAACTGATAATTGCGTGGTCATGCAATTCTGTACCCAAATTAAATTTATGTCCTTTTTTTCACACTAGTAGAGCTTTCTTTTGGTGGTATTTGATCACCGCTTATTTTTTATTTTTTTTTCAACAAAAAAAAAACAGAAACTACTTTGGTTATTAAAAAATATATAGTAAACTCAAAGTTGGTCTTAAATTTAGGCCAAAATGTATTCTGCTACATGTCTTTGGGGAAAAAAATCCCAATAACTGTATATTTGTTTATTGTGAAAGTTATAGCGTCTACAAACTATGGTATAAATGCTGGAAATTATGCCATTTTTTTGCTATACAGCACTGCGTTAGTTTAACAATTGCGCGGTCATGCAATGCTGTACATAAATAAAATTTATATCATTATTTTCCTCACAAATAGAGCTTTCTTTTGGTGGTATTTGATCATCTCTGGGTTTTTTATTTTTTGCGCTATAAACAAACAATTAAAACAATATTTTTTCATTTCTGTTATAAAAAAAATATCTAATAAGCTCAAAGTTAATCATAAATTTTGGCCAAAATGTATTTTGCATAATGTCTTTGGTAAAAAAAAAAAATCCCAATAAGTGTATATTAATTGGTTTGTGTGAAAGTTCTAGCCTCTACAAACTGTGGTATGGATACTGAAATTTACACAGCTTTTACTTTTTGACTGCCATCACATTTCTTGAGGTGCTAAAATGCCAGGGCGGTACAAACATCACCAAATGACCCTTAAGTGGGTGTCACGCCTAATTCTGTGTCTGTTACAGACACAACATCTTTTTTGAGATGACTTTTGGGTTGGGGTACTAGGAATGGCATCAGGAAAATGCCTCTCATGCAGCCGGCTCACTACACCTGGGTTGGGGTTTTTTGCCACAGCACCTTCTGGATGCAAAAGGGCTGTGATGATCTTTTCCTGGAATTTTAAGAAGGATCCACTTCTAGTTGTTTCCATTTGGGGGTTAGGTCCAAAAAAACTTTAAATTCGGAAACCGTATCAGGTTTCCATGCAAATGGTTTGGCAAGGTTTGAATTTGGGTTGGCGGCAATAAATTGTTATGCGTATAAATTGCTTTGATCCACAATCAATCCATACAGATCTTCTGTGAAAAAAAATCAGAGTAGTTAAATTTGCTGTTTCCACCTGAATTCCTGGTTGTGCAGTGCATGGGGGAAGTACGGGTGCTTGCAGAATTTCTGGGCTGCAAATCAGGATTTTGCAAGCTCATCTGGAAGGACACTGTGCGCTCTATGGGCCTGTGGTCCGAATTCTTGGTGGCTGTGGGACACTACTTGTGCTAGCCACCGCACCAGCTTGTACTGCAGTGCTGGTATGAAAAAGACCAGGATGTACTAGGCTGCTGGTGCTCGCCAGTTTGCCAAAAGGTAGAGTGGGACTAGTACTGGCCCTCTGCTGCATATGAGAATTAACATGCAATTGTAACACCTCAGCAACCTGGGAACAGGGTCGGGTACGCCTGACCTTAGCCGAGACCTCTTCTCGTTCGTCTGAGCTATCTGTCAGGATGCCGCTGTTCTCTACAGGTTCATATTCTGAGGCAGATTCTGTCAATGAGGCTTCCCCTTCTCTTTCATCTGACAAATCCTGTGGACTAAAGGATTCTGAGCATTCTTCACTAGTGTAGCTTTTGTTGGACATTTTGGCCACTAAATGTATAGGTACCTAGTGTGACTCATGGAAAAAAAGAGCACCTGGCTGTTGGGGACTGCTTGAACTGCTACAAAAAAAATTTCCTTGCTAGTGCTAGCAGGGATCAGGCCTGATCTTGCTAACCCAGCAGTTTTGTGTGCAATGTATCAAGTGACAGTGACTGACACAGCACTTGCTGGGGAGTGGGGGGGGGGGGGGGGGTTTAAGCGTAGGGACTAAAGGCAGGTGCCAGGGCTATCCTGCTATAGCTGTGTTTTTTTGGGACACTATACTATTGTGAACGCTGGTATAGTTACACTTTGCACTAACACACTATTCATTGTTGACACTATAATAGCATGGGAGGCTTATTGTGTATGTGAGCATGTTCTTGGCAATCAAAGGGTTAAATGTGATGACTGATGTAGTGGCAGGCAATCTGACACTATCTGGGAGGGACGCTAATGTTATCTGAAGTCACCTGTGACACTAATACAGTGATCAGTAAAAAAATAAAAAATAAATAAATCTGTACACTGTACTAATGACACTGGTGACAGGGCAGTTAATGGGTTAACTGGGGGACGATCAGGGGGTTAAATGTGACTTATCAGTGTTTTGTGTGTGTGTGTAGTGCTTTGACTCTGGATCTTGCTTTCTTCTCTCTCTGGAACGGAATGTGCTCCAGGGAGAGAAGATTGCATCTTTGCCTGTGTAATGTAAACACAGGCACAGTAAGATCTGTGATAGGGCAGTGATCACTCTGCAGATCCAGTCCAAACATTACTGGCCTGAATCTGCTGACTGATTGGTGCTGCACCGAATCACAGCACCTCCGGGTCGGCGCTCACGCCCCCTGCCCGTGAACAAAGTGGGAGCGCAGATTACGTTTACATACATTACATGATTTTGCGCATGGAGTCCGCCTTGTAGCAGTAAACCTGCTATAGGGCAGAGCTTAACTGGTATAGCTACATGATCAGTGCAGGTGAAAAAACACAAGGTGCAGGTGGGAATGTTTATATTACCTTTAAATGGTACAGTTTGTCCCTGCCCATCCTGTAACTGGATAACAAAGAAGCAGCACACAAATGAGGTCATAACTCTGCTCTGTTATCCTGCAAACATGCTTCAGTTGACAGTTTAGTATAAAGCAGTAGAACTCTGATTAGTTCAGGGTGTTGCTCCTCCCTCTCTGTGTGACTGCTGCTGTGCAAAGGGTTTTGGACACTGATGATAGGACAGATTCAGGTATTTATGCCAGACTTCTGTCAAAATATATTTCCTGTGTTTAATTGCTACACAACTGGATTAAATGTTTTTTTTTCTGTCTGGAGTTTGGCTTTAAGTAGAAAGCCGCCTTGATAACATAATACAAAGAGGGGTTCTCTGTAGTAAATGAAGGCAGTCATTTGGTAGTAGTCTGTCATTTACTGTATATGCATACATGCTTTTAATATCCAAATTCTTATTCCCATGATTACTGCACCCCAAGCTTGTGATAATTTTCTGACTTCTTCTGTGTTGCTTCAGTGACTGGTGCCAGTTTCTTTGTCTTCAGTGGAGCCCTGAAGCCTTCATCTGGATTCCTAGCCAAGTCCAGCATTGTAGAAGGTAAGTGCTTTCAATGTGATAATGAAACATGACTGAAATGCTTTACAGTGGGTACTCTTCCACCAAGAATCAGAGATGTTTGATTCCATGCCAGCTTCTAGAGAGGACCAATGGCTCCCTGCCATTCGCAAATATTGCCCCCTGCATCAACCACCACCTCCTCTTTACAGCGCTTTTAAACTGAATTTCAGATTAAACTGGACCTATATTCAGCATTAACTTCAATCTATTTTGACAAGATAAAGTGAAATAATAAAAGTGCTGAATGCCTTACATTTCTGGACAATAATGTTGTCCAAGGCTCCCTCCTGTGACAGTTATACAATCATAAAATGTAGGCATTTTGTATGTGATTCCTTCCGAAAAATTGTCATGATCAGAATTTAATCTCTAGACATTGGATCACATGACCAGCATAGAAGGGAACCCTGAAATGCATTTACTTTTTAGGAAAGATGTTAAGCCCATTTAATACTGTATATATGTTTGAACAGGGAACTTTGAAAAAATACAGTAACCTCCCCCCCCCCCCCCACCTCCACCAAATGCCCAGTCTTGTAGTTTGTGTTTTTTTACATTCATATTAGCATTACTAATGGTGGTAAGGGGGTGGGGGGGTGGGGTAAGAGGGGCTTAAGATGTTCAAATTCATTAGAAGTCTAATAATCCGTTTTGAAGCAATATGATGTATCAGATTAGTTATACAATTATTTATTCATTTCTGTCATTTGTGCAGTTGACTGCTGTGTTGTACCGAAGGACTGTTAAGTCCTACAGTCTATTCTAGCTGCAGTGCAATCACCATCAACTTTTAGGAGCAATCATTTGTTGGTAGATGGTGACTGTTTTGTAAGGTTTACTCCAAAATGTTAAACACCTTTCACAAGAAAAACTTTTAGGAGCAAAATTCATTGCAACAATAGAGTAATCCATTTTGGAAAAAATTGTTGATTTTTAGACCCAGGGCTGCAAATCTCTAGCTATCTCCCCCTCAGTACTGCTTGGCTTAAAAATTTTTTTTTTTTTTTTTGTTCACCTTGCACCTATGTGAAAGACTGTTTGGTCTCGATGTCTGTCCAAAATATACTAACCCTGACCTTTGACCCCAACCGTTGGCCTTGACCTTTTGACCCTAACACTAATCCTGGCACTGACCTAGATAAAAAATAAAAATTTTTTGTCTTTTTTTTACACACCTCTCCTGCAAGAAGAGAAAAATACAATGTATCTTTTCTTCATTCAGAAAAAGAAGTAAACACATGGGTGGGATGTACAGTGTCTGATCACTGTGATATCCAATAAAGGCTATCACAGCGATCAGGTGACCCAGAGCCCCGGGTCCAGATAGATGGTACGAGACTTGGGGCTCTCGGTAAGAGGTACGCATATATGTGGCCCCATGGATAAAGGCCCACTTCCATGGGGCTGTATATATGCATACGTCAGGAAGGATTTCATATGCATTGAGCTAAGGCAGACCGTTGACTTTGAATAGGCCTCAACACAGGGCTCAACATATCCCAGGAGGAAGGTCGCCATGGCCACTAGAAATTGCATCCTGGCGCCTGGGTTCACACACTGTCTCCCATACTTCAGTGTCTCCCATACCCTTCAGTGGGAAGTTGTGCCCCGTACACTTCAGTGGGAAGTTGTGCCCCGTACACTTCAGTGGGAAGTTGTGAAGACCTGGCTAGCAGTCGCTGTTAAATTTGTTCTCAAAGGTATCCAGTAGGATTGAGGTCAGGACTTTGTGCCTCAGGCCACTTGAGCTCCTCCACACTGACTTCATCAAACCATGTCTTTATGGCTTTGTAGACAGGTACACAGTCATGCTGTTACAAAAAAGGGCTATTCCAAAACTGTTACCACAAGGTTGGAAATGTACACTTGTTTTAACTCTTCTGGAGTGGCAACTATCAGTTGGCAAATGTTTGTTAAAAGATTATTCTGAGAATAACTGCATGTTTTTGTCCTCTTTATTTGGAAATCATGTCTTCTCTTGGGTCCCTGTACTCATCTTTGTGTCCTTATCTGGTGTATCAGATGGGGTGATGGTCCAGATCACAGCAGAGAGCATGGATGCCCTGAGACTCCAAGCCTTGCGGGAGATGAAGGATTACACCATAACATGTGGGAAAGCAGATTCTGAGGAGAACCAGGAACATGTCTATGTTCAGTGGGTGGAGGATGACAAAAACTTCAACAAAGGGTAAACTTGCCTATAAATATAAGCATCATTAGTTAAAATAACTGAAAACATAAATTTTTTGTTTCCCTTAGCAATAAAGCATTTTTATGGGGGGTGATTTTGTCAATTAATTTTTTTCCCACAGACCCCTAAATTTGTTTTTCTCTTTTTTTTTTTTCAACACACAATAAGGTTTTATTTGATGCACTGGGCCAAGAGTAAAAATTACATCTACTTGCAGTTCTTCCTTTAGACATGCTTGAAGTGACTTTGTTTTATTGCTTGATATGTGTTTTAGTCTGAGACTACTATACAGAACATGCTCCATTAGACCTTTTTTTCTACAGAGTTATCAGCCCTATTGATGGGAAATCCTTGGAATCTGTCACCAGCGTCAAAATATCCCACGGCTCAGAATATAAAGCAAATGGGAAGATTATTCGCTGGACAGAGGTAGGAATTATCACACTGTGTTGTAGTCTAACACAGAATGTAAAATGAAGGTGGAATTTTGTTTATGAGTGAAAATAGCTCACTCTTTATCTGGGTGTGGAGTCTTGATTGGCTGGGATGACTTTACTTCCACGCATGCGCGTGGGAATTTCATCATTCCCAATACAAAATCATTCTTAAACTGTACACTGCTCTTCTTATGTGTAGGTCAGTGCGCACCTTGAAATAGAGATGCTAACAAACATGTGTTAACTGCAGAATTTGCATCTATTGTTTGGTGATTGTGATAGCAAGGAGTTTAGTTTCATGGCTGTACTAAATGACAAATATGTCACTATATGGTCAGACTATAGCAGGTCTCCTGGCCTCTTCCCTTACACTCCACCCTCTAACAAAATCAAGAGTGCAAAAACACTTCCCCTTCTCTTTTCTGGCACTGGTCCCAGCTGCCTGGGCTGAGGAGAAATAGACTCCTTGTACCTTTTATTGCCAATAGTGCTTAGTGGCAGGAGATGTCAGAGTATAGGGTTATAGGTCTGCCTTCTTTTGAAACGGTGATATTACTTTTCCAACATTATCTATACAATTTGGTTTCATATGCTTCATTATTTTTACTAGGTATTTTTCCTGGAAAGTGAGGAGCAACAGAGCGGCCTTAGTGACCCTGCTGACCACAGCAGATTAACAGAGAATGTGGCCAAAGCCTTTTGTCTGGCACTGTGTCCACATTTGAAACTCCTTAAAGAAGATGGAATGACGAGACTGGGACTGCGGGTCACTCTGGACTCTGATCAGGTGACATTTTATTTGTTCTTTGCAAATGTGTAAAAAAGCTAAAGTCCAGGCTGGTATAAAGGCTACACCTTTTATTGACCAATTACATGCTGAGCATTAGCTTTCTTTCTTGTCTATTGAGTTACACTGGAAATCTTGATCTCATGGGTTATACTACCACCTACAGAAATACCTGTTTGGCAGCCCAGAGTATAACTCTTTTTGCTACCACCATGGCTACGGTTTCTTTTTTTTCTTGTGTCCTGCAAGGATGGATGTTTTTTCTTCAGATTTGCTGTTGTAAAGATTACACTTTGATTTTTCTAGCAATTGTTGATCAAGTTCTCTACACCAACTGGTGGAGGTTTACAATTCGACTTTGCAGCTAGCCAGCATAGTCCTCCTCAGCCCGGTTTTTGAACTATATTGCATCTGGACCCTACTGTATTGGACATTGTGGTGTTACTCTGGAAATGACCTTAAGGCACTGGGTTCTGTGTGAATCACTTTTCAGGCTCCATTTTTAGTAAAACATTATCTATGGAGTGCATTCCAGTTACCAATGGCTAAAGTGCAGGACTGTGAAACTGACTTGTAAGAAGTGTTTGATCTGCATGCTCTTCAAGGGATAATGCCTCTCTGGATCAGCCACAGATATTCTCGCCAAGGATGTTACTGGTGTTAAGAGAGCCCATCTGCCCCATTAAAAGATGCCTACGGAGTTGACTACAAAGTCATCTTCCTTCTGACTGTGAAAAAAACATCCTCCTCATTTTTCCACTCCCTCAACTTTAGCATCATGGTCCCTGAAGCTTAAATGTCCATATGCCTACAAAATCTGGCATTCCACGTCTTCCAAGACCTCAGATAAGTCTTCCTTGACATAAAGGATGGCCTCCGCTTTCCAGAGCAGGGGGACATCTGTTGACCTTTGCGGATGATTTAGCATCTTGCATTACATCTTACATTGGGTGCAGAAGTTGATGTCCCAGGGCTACAAACTTAAATTTTAATTTCCTTTTCCCTCTTTGCTTCCTCCCTTGAAATCTTCCCATGTCTCCTCACAGACTTGACAGATCTACATCAGGCTCTCCTTGACCTTGTGGAGAAAGATGTAATAGCTCATGTCCTATTTGTAGAACAGTTCCAGGAGTTTTACTCCAACTTTTTCACTGTCTCAAAACAAAAATGGAGCATTTGCCTTAAATGTCTATATTCGAGTTCACAATTCCACATGAAATCAGCCATGATTTGTCTTTCCCTCCCTTCATCAGAGAGACGTTTTGACTTACATGTCCCCGTCTTCCCAGCACACCATTGTTTTCTGAGGTTTGCTGTAGGTCCGCTGCACTACCAGTTTTTGTGGCCCTGCAACTCTGCTTATCCTTGGGACCTTAGGTGATTACTAAAGTGTCAATTCCACTGTTGGCCTTGTTGCTCTCACAGCATCCCCATTGTTGGATACTTCAATGACCACCTGTTTTTTTAGAACGCTCAGTGAGGGCTTTGTCAGACAGCATATCTCACTGTTAAGATGTTACAGCGGTTTCGGTGGGTCCTAAACTTTCATAAATCCTTGCTGGCACCAGCTCATCACTTGGAGTATCTGGTTCTTGTCCTGGATCTGTTTTTAGGCCAGAGTGAAATGTTTCTTCTCCAGGAGAAGCTTCAGAACCTCCAGTCTCAGGTGCAAACGCTTCAGTACAGAAGCTCTCTGACCCTCCACTTTAGCATGAGAGTCTTAGGGATGATTGCCCACTATCACTTCAGACCGCTACAAAGCAGTTTTCTGTCATCAACTTGGTTTTGACAGGCTTATTTGGTTTGCATTGAGGACTAGGCATCTCTGGCTTTGTTGGTCAGGAATATAGCTCTGGAGTCAAAGGCTTTTCTTCCATTTGTTTGGAAGATTCTCCAGATAGATGCCAGCTTGTCAGGCTGGTGGTAATGGGGGGGGGGGATAGTCTTAGGCACACTGTCTGTGTAGTGGGCTTAGTCATAGGATAAACATTGTGGATAATCTGGCTGTTTAGCTGTCTCAGTATTGGACCTATTTATTGGAAGGCCATCCGATCCACATTTAATCAGACCATACCACATTGTTCAAATACATCAATTATCTGAGGAACCAGAAGTCTTGCTATGGCAAGAGAGGTAGAGCGGATCCTACCCTGGGCAAAACTTAATGTTCCAGCCCTGTCAGCTGTGTGCATTTCAGGGGTTCACAATTGGTAGGCAGGTTTCCTAGGCTGGCAGCTTTAGAGAATTCAAGAGAATAGTCAGCTTTCAAGAGAATAGTCTCTATACTTGAAGATGTTTCTGGAGCTGTGCCACGGGTGGGGGGGGAAACCATATGTTGACTTTCTGGTCTCTATTTTCAGGCACAAAATGAACAGGTTTTTATCTAGGTACAGGAATCCACTGGTGGCTTAAGGAGGTTAGTACACCCTGATCTATGTCTTTTCTCCTTTGCAACTTCTTCTTCTTCAGCTGCTGCATAGTATTAAGGTAAGGGCATTCTGGTAATCTTTGTTGCTCTGGAATGGGAAAGACAGGTGTGGTAATCCAACATAAGAGTTCTAGCAGATGCATCATGACTCTCCAAGTCTGCTGTCCCAAGGACCAAATTAGCCATCCTACCTTTTGCTTGCTGGCATTAATGGTGTAGCTGTTAAAACCCAGGTTCTAAGGGGCGAGTTGTCTTGAATCTGTGATTCTTACAATTTCCAAGGCTAGGAAGTTAACTTCCTGCAGGGTCTGTCATCAGACACCTGAGGTATAATTTACTTCATGTGAGGATAGGGTTTTTCACCCTAGGAGCCTCCCTATGGGACAGATCCTCTCCTTCCTTCGCTTGGATCTGGGCCTGCGTTTAAGTTTCAGAACCATTAAAGGTCAAGTCTTTGCTATTTCCATTATGTTTCAGAGACCACTGGCATCTTTCACATTTGTTAACGTGGAAGTTCATACACTCAATCAACACAGACAATTTTTAATCTAGCTCCTAGCATTATTAAATAGATAGGAAAATATACCATATTTACTTGTGTTCATTTTTTCTTTTACATTTCTACAGTTACTTCTTGGTTTCCAGGCCTAGGCAAATGAAAGAGTTACTAAACCCACAACAATAAAATCAGTCTGTATATGCAGTAAAGCATGCTTGTTATACTCACTGTGGAACCTAAGCGGTTAAATACTGTTTGATCCTGACTTCTCTGATCCTCACCTTCTTCCAGTGTCCCCCTCTTATCTCCTGATAAGACATATCGTGTGGAGACACTCTGCACATGCTCAGTTTGATGTGTGATACTAGAAAGTTTTTTTGTTTTTCTGTTTTTGTTTTTCTTGGGAGAGTGCATGTGATCAGCACAGGACCAATCACCACTGTCCAGACAGAGGTCAGGGGTTCTGCATCCTTCTAGAGCAGAAAGAAAACTCCTACAAGCTTTAACCAGTGCTCTGGTGAACACAGGTATAAGTCACACGACTGCTCTAACTGCTGATGTGAATAGGTGTTTAGCAGTTTATAGTTACTAAAATAAATTGCGTTTCCATATAGTTTGTACTATGGGAGACCAGATATTGTGAATACAGTGTCCTGGTTTAGTAACACTTTAAGTCATGCATCCCAGGAGTCTTCAAGAGGGGATTTCTCAGCTAAGTACACCCTCCTGTCTGCATGTCTGAGCTAAGGGCAGATGGATTCCAAGAAGTAAATGCTATGTGAATCATCTGCCCTTACTCAAGATGACCTTGGCCAGAAATGCTAGGGGGTATTTTTTCAAAGTGATTTTCTCAACAAAATAAACCATGGAGACATGGATGGTTAAGTTTGCTTTGAATAATTAAAAAAAAACTAAATAGCATTTTTGGATTGTGATGCTCAGATGCAGTGTAGTTCCGCTTTAAGACCTTTTGTGCAGGGGGACTTTTATTTGGTTTTCCCTCATCAGTAACCCTGTGATTTGGTTGGATCTAAATTTGGTTTTCTCTAACCTTGAGAAGCTGCTGTTTGAATCTGTTAGAGATTCTTTGGCCTTGCCCTGAAAAAGTTGTTATTGAAGCCCAGGACTTCCTTCTTTCCTAACTTGGTCTCAGTCTTGCACCTTAACTAGGACAGTGTTCTCTGTTCCTTTGGCTCTGGTACATCAAAAGAATATTTCCCGCCGTTGTCTGGATGTGTTTGGGCTCTCCGAGACTACCTCTCAGCCACTGCCTCTTTCAGAAAGACTAATATTTTTTGTCATTCTGAACTTTTTGGTTTTAATCTCTAGATGATGCAGACAGAGATTGGGTTCCCTCCTTTCCTGTTAGGGTTCACTTCAATAGGTCTGTGAGAATGTATTGGGCTTTCAGGACCAGGCAACTGATCCCCAGATTTGTATGTTTTTGCCTCATTTGGAGTCAGCTTTGGGTGGGTCTTTGTGCTGCAGGCAGTAACAAGTTTTCTGTATCAGGGTTTTTGGTCTTCCTCTGGATCGTGTGTGTGTTCGTGCTCATTCTGTATCAGGGTTTTTGGTCTTCCTCTGGATCGTGTGTGTGTTCGTGCTCATTCTGTATCAGGGTTTTTTGGTCTTCCTCTGGATCGTGTGTGTGTTCGTGCTCATTCTGTATCAGGGTTTTTGGTCTTCCTCTGGATCGTGTGTGTGTTTGTGTTCATTCTGTATCAGGGTTTTTGGTCTTCCTCTGGATCGTGCGTGTGTTCGTGTTCATTCTGTATCAGGGTTTTTGGTCTTCCTCTGGATCGTGCGTGTGTTCGTGCTCATTCTGTATCAGGGTTTTTGGTCTTCCTCTGGATCGTGCGTGTGTTCGTGCTCATTCTGTATCAGGGTTTTTGGTCTTCCTCTGGATCGTGCGTGTGTTCGTGCTCATTCTGTATCAGGGTTTTTGGTCTTCCTCTGGATCGTGCGTGTGTTCGTGCTCATTCTGTATCAGGGTTTTTGGTCTTCCTCTGGATCGTGCGTGTGTTCGTGTTCATTCTGTATCAGGGTTTTTGGTCTTCCTCTGGATCGTGTGTGTGTTCGTGCTGTTAGGGTTCACTTCAATAGGTCTGTGAGAATGTATTGGGCTTTCAGGACCAGGCAACTGATCTCCAGATTTGTATGTTTTTGCCTCATTTGGAGTCAGCTTTGGGTGGGTCTTTGTGCTGCAGGCAGTAACAAGTTTTCTGTAGAATGTGTTTTTTGGTCTTCCTCTGGTTCGTGCGTGTGTTCGTGCTCATTCTGTATCAGGGTTTTTGGTCTTCCTCTGGATCGTCGTGCGTGTGTTCGTGCTCATTCTGTATCAGGGTTTTTGGTCTTCCTCTGGATCGTGCGTGTGTTCGTGCTCATTCTGTATCAGGGTTTTTGGTCTTCCTCTGGATCGTGCGTGTGTTTTCATTCTGTATCAGGGTTTTTGGTCTTCCTCTGGATCGTGCGTGTGTTCGTGCTCATTCTGTATCAGGGTTTGTTTTTGGTCTTCCTCTGGATCGTGCGTGTGTTTCGTGTTCATTCTGTATCAGGGTTTTTGGTCTTCCTCTGGATCAGACAGAGTTGTGTTTCTTGCTGTTAGGGTTCACTTCAATAGGTCTGTGAGAATGTATTGGGCTTTCAGGACCAGGCAACTGATCCCCAGATTTGTATGTTTTTGCCTCATTTGGAGTCAGCTTTGGGTGGGTCTTTGTGCTGCAGGCAGTAACAAGTTTTCTGTATCAGGGTTTTTGGTCTTCCTCTGGATCGTGTGTGTGTTCGTGCTCATTCTGTATCAGGGTTTTTGGTCTTCCTCTGGATCGTGTGTGTGTTCGTGCTCATTCTGTATCAGGGTTTTTGGTCTTCCTCTGGATCGTGTGTGTGTTCGTGCTCATTCTGTATCAGGGTTTTTGGTCTTCCTCTGGATCGTGCGTGTGTTCGTGCTCATTCTGTTATCAGGGTTTTTGGTCTTCCTCTGGATCGTGTGTGTGTTCGTGTTCATTCTGTATCAGGGTTTTGGTCTTCCTCTGGATCGTGCGTGTGTTCGTGCTCATTCTGTATCAGGGTTTTTGGTCTTCCTCTGGATCGTGCGTGTGTTCGTGCTCATTCTGTATCAGGGTTTTTGGTCTTCCTCTGGATCGTGCGTGTGTTCGTGCTCATTCTGTATCAGGGTTTTTGGTCTTCCTCTGGATCGTGCGTGTGTTCGTGCTCATTCTGTATCAGGGTTTTTGGTCTTCCTCTGGATCGTGCGTGTGTTCGTGCTCATTCTGTATCAGGGTTTTTTGGTCTTCCTCTGGATCAGCTGTGGGTATAGATATGTGTGTATTTTTCCCCTTCTCTTAGTTGAACTGGATAGACTTGCGGCATTTTTTTTTTTTTTTTTTTTCCAACTAGACTAACTACGTAATAATGTTATAAGTTTGGGCCTGTTGTTTTGCTGTGTTGGCCACCGCTTTTAGATGTCCCAGAGCTTTCAAGGCAAAAAAGAAATTGGGATTTTTGTACTCGCTTAAAATGTCAAAATCCTTCTTCATGGAGGGATACAGGTCCAACTTCTATGCTGTTATGCTGATTCTTTTGGCACAAATCTGACTCATTCTGGTTGCAAGGTCATACCCTGGGATGGCGTACAGCTTTTATGTTTGGTAGTGTCCTACCCATAGACTGACACTGCATTCACATCTAGGCATTTTGTATCATGGGCAGAATCACTGAGATTCTGCCTGTGATCCCAAAACGCTCTGCAAAACTGATAAATCGCACCACGCTTGTTCAGTTGCCATTCATTTTCAATAGCACTTAAAACGCAGTGTGATTCTGCTATAATTGCCTCATGAAGCTTGCGGTTTGCCAGTGTAGTTTGATGTGACTGCAGCACAATTTATTGCGGCAGAATCACACCCACGTTTATGTACCAGTGAAAACGAATGGCACCTGAACAAATGTGGTGCGATTTGTCAGTTTTGCAGAGCGTTTAGGGATGATGGGCAGAATCGCGGTGATTTTGCCTGTGATACAAAATGCCTAGATGTGAGTGAAGCCTTAACATTTCCTTTGTACCTCTGTGGACTCCAATAAAAGGATTTTACGTTGAGTACAAAATTCTATTTTCTTGCTCTTGTATGTCATCAACTTGGCTGTGATGTCTTGTATGGCTTTGTAAATCTCAGGACTGGTTTGACAGAAATGAAAACGTTTGGTATATGGGACAGTTACCATATCTACAGTGCATCCAGAAAGTATTCACAGCGCTTAACTATTGCCACATTTTGTTATGTTGCAGCCTTATTCCAAAATGGATTAAATTAATGTTTTTCCTCAACATTCTAAAAACAATACCCCATAATGACAACATGAAAGGAGTTTGTTTTGAAATCTTTGCAATTTATTAAAAATAAAAAAAAAAAAAAAATCACATGTACATAAGTATTCACAGCCTTTGCCAAGACACTCAAAATTGAGCTCTGGTGCATCCTGTTCCCACTGATGATCCTTGAGATGTCTCCCCAATTTGATTGGAGTCCACCTGTGGGAAGTTCAGTTGATTGGACATCATTAGGAAAGGCATAAACTTGTCTATATAAGGTCCCACAGTTAACAGTGCATGTCAGAGCACAAACGAAGCCATGAAGTCCAAGGAATTGTCTGTAGACATAGAGACAGGATTGTATTAAGGCACAGATCTGGGGAAGGGTACAGAAAAAATTTCTGCAGCATTGAAGGTCTCAATGAGCACAGTGGCCTCCATCATCCATAAATGGAAGAAGTTTGGTACCACCAGGAATCTTCCTAGAGCGGGCCATCTGGCCAAAATGAGCGATTGAGGGAGAAGGGCCTTAGCCAGGGAGGTAACCAAACACCCGATGGTCACTCTGAAAGAGCTCCAGCGTTTCTCTGTGGAGAGAGGAGAACCATCCAGAAGAACAACCATCTCTGCAGCACTCCATCAATCAGGCCTGTATGGTAGAGTGGCCAGACGGAGTTTGCCAAAAGGCAGAGGGGCTCTCAGACCATGAGAAACAAAACTCTCTGGTCTGATGAAACAAAGATTGAACTCTGGCCTGAATACCAAGCATCATGTCTGGAGGATACCAGGCACCGCTCACCACCTGGACAATACCATCCCTACAGTGGAGCATGGTGGTAGCAGCATCATGCTGTGGGCATGATTTTCAGCGGCAGGAACTGGGAGACTAGTCAGGATCGAAGGAAAGATGAATGCAGCAATGTACAGTGACATCCTTGATGAAAACCTGTTCCAGAGCGCTCTGGACCTCAGACTGGGGCGACGGTTCATCTTTCAATAGAACAACGACCCTAAGCACACAGCCCACATAACAAAGGAGTGGCTACGGGCCAACTCTTTGAATGTCCTGGAGTGGCCCAGCCGGAGCCCAGACTTGAAGAGAGATCTGAAAATGGCTGTGCACTGACGCTCCCCATCCAACCTGAAGGAGCTTGAGAGGTACTGCAAAGAAGAATGGGAGACATTGCCCAAAATATAGGTGTGCCATGCTTGTAGCATCATACTCAAAACGACTTGAGGCTGCAATTGGTGCTAAAGGGGCATCAACAAAGTATTGAGCAAAGGCTGTGAATACTTATGTACATGTGGGTTTTTTTTCGTTTGTTATTTTTAATAAATTGCAAAGATTTCAAAACAAACTTCTTTCATGTTGTCATTTTATGGGGTATTGTTTGTAGAATGTTGAAGAAAAAGGTGAATTTAATCCATTTTGGAATAAGGCTGTAACATAACAAAATGTGGCAAACGTTAAGCGCTGTGAATACTTTCTGGCTGCACTGTACAATTCATCGTTGTATTTAGCAGTACCAGGAAGTGCAGTGCTATTTTTCAGGAGGAATTCAATACAAAATGTGCAGTTTTCTGCATAATGCATAGACATAATTACATTTCTGCATTTCTTGTTTTTTGGTTTGGGTAAGTGTTGACCACAAGTGAATGAACTAATAAACTGTGCAGTGAAATTCAGGGCTTCTTCTATGTTTTACAGGTTGGATACCAAGCAGGAAGCAACGGTCAACCTCTACCTGCTCGCTATACCCATGACTTGGACAGTGCCTTGGTGCCAGTGATTCATGGGGGCACATGCCAGCTGAGTGAAGGCCCAGTAACCATGGAACTCATTTTTTATATCTTGGAGAATATCTCATAGGGATGAAACATGCATCTCCTCACAAGCTGTCGCCGGCTGAAACATTTGCACTTTAATCATGGAAGATTCATCTTTTTTTTTTTGCTAACACTTGTACTAGGTCAGAATGCAAAGGGTGAACAGCAGAACGCTTTAAATCTTCTATGCATAGCCAATGGAAGGTGCCAGACTGCTGATTGGCACTGCATTTCCAAGCCCAGAGATTTTATAAACGCTTGAGGGCAATCCTGGATGAGGCAAAAGGGAGGAATAAGAAACCCTTGTAGGTGCAAAAGAGACAAAGAATATCCTAATTACAATCAGGAATCTCACGTTGACCTCATTGCAACCATTGCTGCAAACTCTTCTGCTTGTGTTATGTTTTACTTGTTCACCTTACTCAAGTTTACACTGTCAAGACCAGCCTGAACCATTTGTCCTGTTTGGTTTGTAACCCCCCCCACGTACAATGCATGGCTAGGAGACACAGCCAGTAGCGTCAATCTCATAAACCAGCCTGAGCGCATGAAACAGCTGCCTATTGCCGGGCTGAGTCTTCGCTTGCAGGTCCAGCAATATCTTTTATTTTGTACAATTCAAGAGAATACAAGATCTGTCCTTGCTGTAGTCTCATAAAAGTGTCAGCTTTATCCATCAGCCTTCATAGTAGGGGGGAAGACACTGTTACATAAAAGAAGCAACTCTGAAACTCATTATGCGTTAAGCAATGTCCAAACTCGTCCAGCCGTTGCTACTGGCGGAAGGTAACAAGTTACCGTTTACACACTACATGTTTGTCTTCAGGACCGCATACTGCAGTCTACAGTCTCACCTAAGCATTATGCTGTAGTTTGAAGCATTTGTAACTCAGCGAAAATGCTATCAGTTTTACTGTGTGTGCCCAATCCGGCTCCCATCTTTTGGCTCAGGTCAGGTGCCAGTTGGGTGGGCCTGACTGCCATCTACTGTGGGTCCTGGAAGATGTTTACACAGAACTATGACACGATACACAACATACAACTCTTCCAGAGTGTGACCATTATTTAACGCTAAGTAATACTTCTTCAGCTTTTTTTTGTATTTATTTACATTCATTGTGATACCATTTGTTTCTGTCAATTTCTTTTGTGTTTTCTTTGGGTTTTTTTTTTTACTGTTGGGTTTCAAGCAAACATGTTCAGTGTCCAGATGTTGGGGCTGTCCATATTTTGTCATTTCTTAAGGATCTTATATGGTGGGGGTATGAGGAAAGGTACCATCAGGTAGTGGTTCTTACTGCAGGTCTTTTAGTTGTGGATTTAGCTCCTTCCTTCCCTTTAAATCCAGGGCAAATACTGACAGTGGCCTATTGAGAAGCACCCACATCGCATTGTGGCTTTGAGGAAGGACATGCCTTAGATCCTGCCTACTGGACAGTCTTTATTTTCTTACTGCCTTTGCTACTTGCTTTAAAGTTTTTCTAAAGCCAAAACAATTTTATGTTTAGTTTTGGATAACATAGGGAAGGGTTAGTGCCCCTGGCAGGCTTTTATTGCAGTCTGTGTCTCCAATGGCGAGATTCATTCTCTCTATTCGTCTTAGTAACCATTGTCTCCGGGACTAAAGTGGTAGACATCTACCATTAGGGAAACTTTTTGCTGTAACAGCAAGAATTCCTCACTTGGGAGGATTTCCCTTCACTTCCTTCCTGGAAAGAGACAGCAAAAGACCTTGTTCTTTTAAAACTAAAAACAGTTTTGGCTTTTTATATATATTTCAAAATTGGTGCTCTTGAGAGGAGGGGTGGTAGGGTGCTGGATCTCTATTTTAAAGAGTCAGTCACCGCACTTTGTAAAGAAGGGGCTGCTTTAAATCATCTCAAATTCTGTGCTCTTTGTTTCCTTTTTCCTGGTGTTGAGCTGCAGTAGCAAGTGCTCTGAATATTGAGCTGCAGTAGTACCTGTTCTCAGTATTGCACATTTTTCTTAACAAGCTGAGAGCATCTTTTAGTGGAAAGGTGTACGGTAGAACTTGTTTTGTCAAACAAAAATGTGTAATAATACATACATACTATGTATACATATCTGATATGATAGTTTATCCATAGCCCACAGAAGCAGACAGTGTTTTTAGACGGGCTTAATTTCCTGTTATGGGCCCAACACTTTATGGAAAATGTGTTTGGATGCACTCTTGGGAAGAAACAAGTGCAGTCTAGTACATGGTGTTTCCCATGTATCATGAGGGGTCAAAGGGATCACTCTATAGCTTTGTGCTCCACAGGATGTTTCCTCTATATACTAACTGATTGAGGAGATCTAGTCAATAGATGTGTAGCTCAGTCAGTTAATTCTGTGCAATTCCAAAGTGCTCATAGGTTTTAAGGTTTATAATTCCTAAAGGTATGTATGCCTTTAATTCTAGGAAGAGTGCCTATGGATTGAAGAAGTAGGCTGGCCTGACAATTCCCCAGACAGGAAAACCTTTCCATTAAGGTTATGTATCATGTAGACTTTATTCCTATGGGCTGTCTGTTCTGGTCCCTTAAAGTCTGTTGTAGAATTTTCAGCGTTCTGAAACAGCAGAAGCGCCACTATAAAGGGAAAATATAGTGATTAGTTTGCGTTATATTCATTTTTACCATAAAGTTATTTTTATTTTTTTTTAATCGGAATTTGACATTAAAGTTTCCAATATCATATGTTTGATTTTGTGTTAAAATATCAAGATTTTTAGAGTAGCCACCAGAGGATGCCCTTGCTGGCTCAATGCAATTAAATTGCTTCCTTCTTAGGCCACATGCACACTTGGTGCTTAGTCCCAGTGCACGATACTTCAGCGATTAGCTGTGGCTGGAGGACACAAGTGCACCGTCCATCCCTGCTGCCTGTCAAACACCATGAGAGTCTGACAGCTTCTGCAGCTGGAAGGGGCTGGATGGTGCACCTAATGGTATGTTCGTTTAGGACAGTATGTGCCCAGGGAAGAATGCAAATAAAATGGCTTCCCCTTGTGTAAATATAGACGCCAAAGGTTTTGAAAACAAATATGTTTTGCTAATCGCTTGTACTTTACTATTAAAAAAATGAAGACAATACTTGCCCTTGAAAGCCACTCATTTACAGGAGTGGGTGCAGCTAGATACGTTTATTACTAAATCTCAAAAAGTGATTTTCTAAATATATTGTAGTGGCCCCATTTAAAAGTATATTTCAGGTAACAAAATCATTCATTGAACTCCTAATATTGTCACAGGGACATTGCAGCCATGTTTAGGTCAGAAAGGACATTTGGTATTGTCTTAGAATTCAATACAGCCATGTTCAGGCTTTTCACAGGGCCTCTGTGTACTGTACTGCAGCATCTTGTAACATGATCCTGTGTTACACAACCTCCCCTCCCTAAAGGTCCATACATATGATAAGGAAATCGTACGAACATTTCCGTACAACGGTTGATTATTTGTTCGATTAGTATAGTGCTTTCGACGCCCGATTCCAACCAGAATCCATGTTTGGATGAAAAAACAAAAAACGAAGGTGCAAGCTAGAAAACGTTTATTGTACATGAACACAACTTCCGATTTTTACTCCATGTGTACCGTAATTGTACAAAAATAATCAAATAGAAAATAATCGCGTGATCAGAAGCAAAGGCCCCGGAAGAAGGTGGCAACAAAAAAAGAAATCATACACATGAAAGAACATCTGCCTATGCAGGCTGAAGATTTTCGTACAAGTTACTAATATTGTCGGTTACATCATGATACGCACCTTCTAGGAAAATCGAACGATCCTTTGTGCCAGGCTTAAGACTTGCAGAAGGCATTGATCAGAACCTGAGAGCACACAGGCCTGCATTTTCACAAGGCCATATTTGTGACCATTCAGAACAAGACATCAGGGACTTCAGCCAGCAGTACCAGATGGATGGCAGAAAACAAATTACCAAGCAGCTGTCCCCGAGTCCGTTTAAAGCTGAATCCCAGAAGTACTCTGTCGTGTACAAGTTCCTTTCCTGAACTGAAATATCTTACTGTGATTTCACTGTACAGTGAGATTCTCACAGCATGCATTAGAACCTGCAGCCAGAGATTGCCTTATATTCTGGCTGGAGGACGTCCAGCACCCTTTAGCTCTTTCCTTCCCAGCCTGTGTGTCCCTGGCCCTCCCTTTTCATTCATTGCTTTTGATTTCTTTCAGTCATGGAGGCTTAGCAACACATGTGTGCATTACCTTGGACAGGCCCCATGCAAATAGTCTGCCTAGGAACACTCACTCCTGCAGTCTGACATCCATCTATCAAGGCATTTTGATATTGTATAACTCCAACTGCTTGTATCAGGGCAGAGGGCTCTTCAGTGGCGTACCTGGGGCAGGGTCATTGTAATGTTTTTAAGATATAAACAGAACCCTGTTGGCCCTTCCCACTAGCTAAGATCTGCCTGCATTGCATAGAGAATTGCAGGGTTCTAGTGAGGATGCCACTGGGTGTAAAAGAAGGTATGTTACGAAAGCGGAAATGAGCAGATTAAACTTCAGTTTTAAATGACACATTTTAATGTTTGACTGGAGATCACCTTTAAACCTTTTCACTATTATAGTTTGACCAGCTGTTCTGGTGCACATTACTAAAATATACTTTCCGTTTCTGATGACATTATCCAAAGAATGACCTATAACATCATTAGCTGGAGCCAGATTGTTTTCTTACTGATTTTGGCATCTAATCTGGCCGAGGTCCACTGCTGGAAATTAAAAGGCCAGTTTTCAGCTGCAGATAGGAGATATGACTTACAGTAATGACATAATTCTACTTATTCATAGTATTCTTTGTTGGGGTCTTTACATTTACATTTTCTTTAGACTTTTTTTTTTTCCTTTTTAATTTCCAAAGGATAATATAGTTTTATAAAATAAAACATATTAGATTCAGCGTCCCTTTTTTAAATAGAATTGTGAAATCTGGATGGATTTAAGGGAAAATATAGCACTTTTATCAGACCCGTAGTAAGATATACGTGTTTTTTTTTCTGTATGCAC